AACAGTCCTGGAATTAGGAGGGCCAGACCTGGACAAGCTGAGAGTAGTCTCAAGCAGCCGCCCTGCTCGACCAAGACTAACTTGGGAATTTACTATCCCTGAACCCAAAGTTTCAAGCAGCCGCCCTGCTCGACCAAGACTAACTTTGGAATTTACTATCCCTGATCCCAAAGTCTCAAGCAGCTGCCCTGCTCAACTAAGAAAAATGTCGGAATTTTAGTAAATCCCTAAGCCCGAGGTCTGTGGATGGACCGACCCCTGGAGCTTGAACAACTAACTGCCGTTCAGATCTAGCTATCTGCCAAAGAGACCGAGAACTCTGGGCTCCAGAGGACTATTTTATACCCACAGCTGTAACCCTCCAGCATGGTGACCGGTGGTAATGGGCTCTGAAAATATGGAGACAGATCTGCCTATTGGGATTCAGCTCTGTAGCGACTTCCCCAATCGGCAGTGGAGTTGAGACGCACTCCCCCCGGCCAGAACGGAAGCCTGTCTCGGTGCACTCCACGGGGGTGATTCTTAGAGGAGCCCGCGCACCCAGAAGCTGCAATCCTTAGTGTGACCAGAAGAGGGCAGCGTGTTAGGGAGGGAAGCTATTGAAAAAAGGACTCCTACCCAGCACAGGCTGAGAAGGAACATAGATTGTAGGAAACACAGGGCTCCACAAGATAACTGGCCCTTCTCTTCCCATATACTTGGCAGATTCCAACTTTGAGGACATCAAAAACGGCCACTCTGACACACTGTTTTAAAAACTATGCTTTCAGCAGGATTTGGATCTTTGTCTTGTTTTTATAAACTTATTTTTGTCGTCCTTCTCCATTAAATCTGTTTACATTTTTATTTTATTATTGGACAATCTCTTCCTACCCCCTTCATAAGGCTCTTTTCCCTATTTTATTTAATCTTGCTTCTCCTTTGGTTTTTCTCTTTCCATGTATGCGGCATTTACCTCAGACACTTCATTTTCCTAGATAATTCTTAACATCATTTTTTTCCATTTTCATTTCTGTGTTAATTTTGTGGTACATTAGCAGGCTTTAATTAATTTTAAGTGTATTTCTTTATCTTGTTTGGTTTAGCATTTTAGGAGTTTGTTGTCTCCTATATGCGTCCTACAGGAGATTAACCCTTGAGAAATAAAATAGGAAAAGATCTCCAAACCAAGAGATGATGGACACCAGAACAAAGGAAACACGAAGAAGCAAGGTAATATAACGCCTTTAAAAGATCCAGCTACTGCCGGGCGGTGGTGGCACATGCCTTTAATTCCAGCACTCGGGAGGCAGAGCCAGGCGGATCTCTGTGAGTTCGAGGTCAGCCTGGGCTACCAAGTGAGTTCCAGGGAAGGCACCAAAACTACACAGAGAAACCCTGTCTCAAAAAACAAAACAACAACAACAAAAAACAAAACAAAACCCCAAAAGACCCAGCTACCGAGCTCAAACATGCCGAGATGAGCAAAATGCTTCGTCGAGGCTTAAAAGTTTACTTATAGAAATGACCAGTGACCTAAAAGAATATACAGGAAAGCAGAATATTGAAGTAGGAAAAGCAATCCCAGGCCTGGAAAGGCCACGTGACACAGACGAGAAAGTCTGTGTGTGAATGAGCATCAGAAACGTGATGAAAGGTCAGCAGCAGGGAGAAGACACTCAGCAGAGCCTGAGCCTTGGGAGAAACTCAATGAACCTTATTTTTAAAGAATGAACAAACATGTCAAAAGTGTATCCAATAGACCGGGACAATAAGACACAGACTATTTGGGATTGAGGACGAGATCAAGAAAATATGACATTCAAGCAACAATATGAAAATAATGAGTCAGTCTCTCGGTGTGGGCCCAGGGTCCCCTTCAGTCTTGGCTTCTAGCCCGTCTCCATTACTTTGTGACTTTGCTGACTCCCCAGAAGCACTCTCTACCAGGAACCCACAGCCACACACTGGTAGGGGACCTTTCCTCCTCCCTGGCTTCCATTCTGGTCTCTCCAGACTCGTTCTTAGTCCTGCTGCAGCATGCCCACAGGAGCCCCTTCTCCAAGCCTCCCTCCGTCCTTGTGACTTGGCCTCTTGGTGGAGACCCAGGGTACCCCTAGTTTTCTCTGGTGGACCCTTTCAGCCTTTCTTTCTAGCCCATCTCCATTCCTTTGTGATTCTCTGCTAAAGTGAAGAACAAGTCTTTATCAGATACTCCACAGCCACCACACGTGGCTGGGAATCAAGGACCCTACAGCCACTATACTGGCTGTGACCCACAGGGGGCAACAGCAACCACAGAGCAGAACAGGCACCCAAAAAATATGGGACCAGATATTCACACCAAGAAACATTTCAAATATCCTAAGTCCAGATGCCTAGATCCCAGTGAAATTCATTGGCTTAACCTATCTGTTGTCTAAAACACAACGGACGCAAACAAAAACTCCCCTGCTCACCAGCAAAGACACTCATAGCTGAGAGCAAGAACCAGGGAGCCAGGCAGTCTACTGAGCAAGCAGAAGCCAAAACGCTTGGCGCAGCTGTCCTGATAGAAGTAGTTCAAATTATTCATAAAGAATAGGGATGGCCACTATATATCAATAAAGGGAACAGCACACCAAGAAGACAGAACGATTTGAAATATATACATCAAATTCTGTGGCTCCAACTTTCATAAAAAGACAGGTGGGTCCTGATGCAATAGTAATGGATGACTTCTACACCTTATTCTCATCAGTGGCTGGGTCATCCAGACCAAAATCCAATGAAGAAACTTGAAAGTTCATCTGCGCCATAGACCAAATGGCTTTCACAGACATTAAAGAATATTCCATAACAGCTGTCTTAACAGATACAGAGAACTTAAATAATTTTTTAGAAACTAATAACAAGGGAAACCACAGAAATCACACAAATACTTGGAGATTGGACAGTACCCTTTAATTTTTTTATTTTAAAATTTTCATTTATGTGTACGTATGTGTGTGCCTCTGTGTATGACACACACATGTGAGTGCCCATGAAGATCAAAAGAAGGCACTGATCCCCTGGGGCTGGAATTGCAGGCCATCCTGAGCCACCTGATATGATGCTGGCAACTAAACCTTCTTCTCTAGAAGACCAGCAAGCACTCTTAACTACAGAGCCGTCTGTCCAGCCCACCAGACAATATACTCTTGAATGGCCAGGGTTATTGAAGAAAGCTGAGAGGAGATGAAAAAATTCCTGGACTATAAATGAAAATGCAACTGAGTGCTTTTGGGGATACAGCAATCCCAGCTCTAAGAGGGAAGCTTATAGCTGTGAGTGCTTAGACTAAAAAAAGTCAGATCGCTCTTAAATAAATCACTTAACGATGCCTCAGAGCGCCTCAGGGCTTCAGGAAAACAACAAGCCAACCCAAAAGCACTAACAAAGGCTAGGGTGAAATTAAATGAAATGGAGACTAAAAATATATATATAAAGAAGCAATGAAACAAAATTTTGGTTCTTTGCAAAAATAAACAAGGTCAAAAAATTCTTAGTCTAATGAAGAAAAAGAAAGATGGAGGGGTCAATGTAATAAAACTGGAGATGAAAAGGAGACATAGTCACCACAAAATGACATAAAATCTCTGTGCTGTTTACACAACAAAATGATATACAAACATGAACATCCAAGACACTACTGAAATACAAGAAATGCAATAAAAACGGACAAGATAGATGGACACCCACTTCAAAAAGACAATATACGAATGGCCAATAAACACGAAAATGTTCCCAAGTCATTAGGTGAAAGAGATGTTACCAGACACAGTAGAGTGGTTAAAATTAGGAAGATCCCCCAAACAAGGGTTGGCAAGGATGTGGAATAGCAGCTCTGTAATCAGCCAGTGGAGTGTAAGCTAGCAGAGCTGGTTTGGGATTATCTATACAAGTTGAAAGAACATATATACATACTCTTAAGTCCCAACAACAGTCCTACTAGACAGATTTCCAGAGCACGAACATGTACATGTGTGCAAAAGACTCATAGAAGAATGTTTATGAGAATTATTCATAATGCATTTATCTGAAATCAACCCGAGTTTTCTTTCTGAACATTCAAATGTTTCTAAACTATGTTCCATCAACAGAATAAAACTAAAACAAAATGGACTCTACATACAGTAACATGGGCGACAGTTACAGCCATAGTGTCAGGTGAGAGAGACCAGCCAGAAAGGATGTGAACTAAGTCCACGAAGTCCAGAAAACCACCCAAAACGAAGCTAAGGCACTTACTGTATACTTCCATCATAAAACCGTAAGAGCATGGAAGTTAGCTACTTGTAGTTACCTGTGGGGGTGTGGGGGTGTGTGGGGGTGTGTGTGGGTGTGTGGGGGTGTGTGGGGGGCTGGCACTTGGAAGAAGGGTGGAGAATGCTTGTGGGGTGCTGAGAATAGTCCATATTTACACTGGGTGGTGGGTGATATGGGGATTTATTTTATAATTCCTTTAGTTTCTCTTCTCTGTTCAGTTTTCATATTTCAGAATAAAAAAATAAAAACAAGTAGACAATATTTCAAAGCCCTGTGCGTTTTGAATGCTCCCAGAACTCTCACGGTTTCTCTGACCACATCATCTGTTTGCCAGGCTTTCCTTCACGGGGAGCACTCCACACACACTAATCTTCAGTAATTTCTCTATGTTCCAACCGTTATGAAACCTTTTGGCTTTGCCTTTAGTTGCATTCCAAACCTGCCTGCTTCTAGCTGCCTTTACTGCTGAATATAATGTCTTTACATTTTAGAGTGGAGAACGCGATGATCGCGGAGGAGGAGAGGATGCTGTGAGGACATCACACTGAAGTAGGTGTGAAACTGGCGCGTGTGAGAGGGAGCAGGAGTGTGACCGGGAGATGGGGGGACTACAGACGGAAGAACCTGTGACCGTGGGGCGATGCCTTCCCCACGGCAATCCCGGGCAAACCCAGTACAAGTACCGAGTCCAGCTAAAACTCCACCATTCAAACACGGGGCAGACAAACAGTTACCTTCGCTTTGAAGTGTTCTGCCATCAGGCTGCACAGCGTCGTTCTCCCTGAGCCGCGAGGCCCAAATATAAAGATCTTACACGGCGGAATTGGCATGGGCGGCAGAAGGCAGGGGCGGGGGTTCAGTGAGAACAGTTTTAATGTTTCTTCGGAAGAAAGGCAGTACATTTTACCTAGAAAGCTTAAAACAGACCGTAAGAGTAAACACCTGGAAACATCCCGGGCAGGTTGGAAAGGGAGGCTCTGGGGAGCTTACCGACCTCACGGAAAAGTCCGCGGACCCCGAATAGATGTTCCCGTCCTTTAGGGCCACGGGGCAGGAACGCCCCCACCTGCTGCGGTGCCATCGGTACCGCGGCGCGATGAGCTTGTAAGCGGCGAGTGTCCGGAACAGCTCCTCCTGCGACGATCGCAAACACCGCCCTTCAGAATCAGCCAAATGCTTCACACCGATTTGATAGTACTAACTGCTCGGGAGCAACTTAGAATGCACGTGTCGGCTTTTGGGGTCAGTTACAGCGTTCTGTACTCATTCAGGGTTTAATAAGATTCGTTTTAACTTCTTTAAAATCTATTGGTGCATGCATGTATGCATACATGCATGTGTGTGCGCGTGCATGTGTGTGTGTGTCCGTGTGTGTATGTGCGCATTCATGCGTGTGTGTGTGTATGTCCGTGTGTGTATGTGCGCGGGCGTGTGCGTCCATCTGTCTGTGTGTGTATGTCCGTGTGTGTATGTGCGCGGGCGTGTGCATCCGTCCGTGTGTGTGTGTGTGTGTGTGTGTGTGTGTGTGTGTGTGTGTGTGTGTGTGCAGCACAGGGAACATGGTGGCGTCAGCTCTCTCCTTCCGCCAGTGGGTTCCAGGGTTGGTGACATGTGCCTTTACCACTTTAGCTATCTCTTTTGTCCAGTTTTCACCTCTTTAAGAAAATCTTATGTAAAATTTACAGATATTTTTCTCTCATGTGGTAACAAATGTAACAGGGAATTTTCTACCATCTACTTCAAAAGTCAGAACCTGAAAATATCTTATTGATAAACTTTTAAAATGTACCAGACTCCTAGTCAATGAATGAATCTGAGTGTAAGCTGTTTCCTGCTGTCCTTTGGTCGGTTTTGGTCGGTTGTATTTTTGTTTTTATTTCTGGGTTTTTTTTCATTTGTTTATTTTTGTTTGTTCGTTTATCAAGACAAGATTTCTCTGAATAGTCCCGGAACTCGTTCCATAGACCATGCTGGCCTCAAACTCAGTTGTTTTTTTTTAAGACTGAGTCTCACTGTGTAGCCCTGGCTGAACTTGCTAATTCAGACCAGGCTGGCCTTGAACTCACAGAGATCTGCTTGCCTTTGCCTCCCAAGTGCTGGGATTACAGACATTCACCATCACACTTGGCTCTAAGCTTTTTATTTTTTAGGGCCAAATAGTATGTGAATATATCATATTTTGCTCAACCATTTACTCACTGACGGGCCCTGGAGGTTCCCACCTTTTGGCGATCAAGACCTTTTGGCGATCGAGAACAACTTTCATGACTGCATGTACTTATCTGTTTGCATTCCTGCTTTCAATTCTTTGGAGGAAATGCCTAAAAGAGAATTACTGGATCCTTTTCTGAGGAATCATTCCGTTATTTTTAAAAAGTAGATGCACCGTTTTATATCTTTAATATTATATAGCGTTATGTTAGAATCCAGCTCCTGCTGAGGCCACAGCACCTACAGCAGCCTCCCCTCACAGTCACTAGCAGGTGCTACTGAGATGTTGTCTTCAAGTCCTTAACTAACAGACTTCCAGGTCCCAGGGCCTCTCACCTGGGAGAAGTGAGTCATGGCCCAGGGGCGTGGGTCACACATCCTGTTCTCTGCCTCCTTCCTAGGAATCAAGAGGCTGCCTATCAGCCTGTGCTCCGAAACCTCCCCCATTCTCTGAAAGGTCTAAGAAGAGACTCCTGCAGTTGGTAGTAAGCCCTGATGTGCTCTCTCCAGGCCCCACCACGATGCCTGCCTCTGGCAGTGGAGCCTGCACTTACCTCAGAGCCCCGCTACACTGTTTTCTCTCTGTCTGTCCGTTCATGGCACCAATAACTCCTGTAATAAACTCCTTAGTTCCTGGTAATTCTCAGTGTCCCTCTTGAACCCTAATCTGAGATCATTCAATATCCCAAGCAACAATGCAAAAGAGTTCCAATTTCTCCTACATTTGCTAACACTTGATGTCCTGATTTCTGGGTAACATTCTTCTGCATGTGAAGTGGGCTATCACTGTACTTTGGATTGTCCGTTCCCCATCATTAGTAATACTGAACACATTTTAAATTTTTATTATTTTTAAATGATGTGTAGGTGTGTGTGAGAGCATATGGATATGTGCCTAAAGATGCCAGAGGCATCAGATCCCCCAGAGCTGGAGCTACTAATGGTTGTGAGCTGCCTTGTGGATGCTAGGAATTAAAACTAGGTCCTCCAGAAGAGCAGCCAGTTCTCTTAACCACTGAGCTATTTCTCTAGCCCCCTTTCATGTTCTCATTGGCTATTTATATGTTTGCTCTGGAGAAACGTCTACTCAATTCCCTTGCCCACTTTCTTCACTGATGTATATTGGAGCATTCTTCATGTATTCGGACACCAGTCCCTTGTTGCATGTATGATTTGTAGAGGTCCCCTCCATCACGTGAGTTCACTCTGCTGACAATGTCTTTGGTGTATGAAGGTTTTAGGTTTCCTTTTGTCACGTGTGCTTTGATACCACATACAACTCTGTTTGGCTTTAATCAGCACTAGATCTTGCCCCAGAAATTCTGTTTAAGGTGGTCTGGGCACTAGTATGTGTCAAAAGCTTTCTATGCACCCCCACTGTGCAGTCAGGGCTAAGACTCCCTGCTTTAGCTGTATCACGGCGATGATTCTAGAAACATCACCTGCCTTTAGTTGGAAAGCGTCTGTCTAGAGTCCTTCAAGACACACAGAAGCTGGCAGATCAATCAACTTTAACCAAATACTTTCATAGAGTATATAATGCTAAAGCAAAAGCTCTCAGATATTTTTTTGAGACTTATTTTTATTTTATGTGTTTGCCTGTTTGCCTGAGTATGTATACGGGCACCTAGTGCCTGAGGCGGTCAGAAGAAGGGGTCAGATTGCCTGTAACTGGAGTTACAGATGGTTGTGAACCACCATGTGGGTGCTGGCAACCAAAGCTGAGTCCTCTGCAAAGCAGTATGCATTAGTAACCACTGAGTCATCTCTGCAGCCCCACAAAGCTCGCAGAATTAATTGGACATGGGACTTTATTTCGGATCATGGAGATAATCTATCTTGATGAACATATTCACAACTCCTGGTCTTTTATGTCAAAGGGAAGCACAAACATTTCTCACAGCTATTTCTCCAGACTCTGTGCTCACCTCCCTTCCTCTGCAGTACCAGCTCGTAGACTCCATGTGCACTGACCGGCTGAGATCACCAGGTTACATGGTGTGGGATAACAAAATGACCTCTGCAGCTATTAGCCTATTCGAATTTTGGTATCTACTTACAATTCCACTATTTTAAAATTGTCTATGCATATAAGCTAAGCTAAACCTCCCAGAATAGACCAAACTATTGAGAGCCGCTGGTAGCAAAAGTCCATGAGAATATACAACAGTGACAACTAGAGTTCAGGAGGTCAACCTATCAGAACTCAGGGTCCTGTTAGAGGAAACCATCATGCAAGGTGTTATGGAATTACTGCCTTTTGAAGGAACTGGTTGTCTCTTGTTGTAAACTTCTTGTGCAATAACAGCTATGATTCTCCCCATTTACCACGCATCTTCATGTTATGTGTACATGTAATCTCACGATTGCATCTCAATCTTGGGCACAACTTTCCCTACACATTTGGGGTAATTAGATAACTGTCCCCAGCTGTGTTTATTTTTTCATTAACATATATCTGGCCAGGGCCACTCTCCAGACAAAAGTATTTCAGCAAAGATACCTTTTTCCAAGGACAAACTGCACATAGATAAACATGAGCTCATCTCACTACAGATAAGAGAAAATAACCTTGTGTTTATGTACGTTTCCCCTCCAATAGACTGTGAGCTCCTCCAGGACAGGGGCTGTGTGCTAGTCAGTGATGTATCCCCAGCACCTAGCCACAGTGCCTGACACACAGTAGGTGCTCAATAAATGTTTATTGAAAGGAAAAAAAAGAGAGAGAAAATAACCACTAGCAATTAAATCCTCAACTCCTTACCTTCTCCCCAGGTTATTTACACAAGATCCTAATTTAAGAGATTTACTGCTCACATTCTTGGGATGAAGTTTTAGCCACTTGCTAGTTGCTGAGTTAAGGCAGTTACTTCCCACTGACCCAAGGAGATTGCCTACACAATCATGCAGGAGATAGATGCCAAGCTTCTTTCTTGTGCAAATTAAGTTTTATTTCCTCCTCAGTCAGGTGCTATTCCTAGATTCCCTAATTGGTCTTAGCCTTTAGTTGACCCTACCAGAGAACTCCCCTTCAGTCACTCCCCTTTTGGGTTGTAATTGGAAGCTGACATTTATTGCTTTATGTGTGGATCCTTATCACCTCTCTCTGTGACCCTGAAAACTTCAAGCCTGGCTTTGCTTTACCAAAGAATTACTGTGTGAGTACATATACTGGTTCTGAGAGCACTGGGAGGATGGATGGAGAAGAACAAAGATGAGGACGGAGATGGAAAGAATTAGGTAGAGAAGAGAGAACAGCAGAAGGGACCGAGAGCAGGAGGGACCGAGAGCAGGAGGGACCGAGAGCAGGAGGGACCGAGAGGAGCTAAGAATGAAAACAGAAAAGCAACTGTGTAGCTAGAATGGATTTAGAAGAATAAACTGAATGGACTAAAGAACTCGGTGTGCTTAGATTCATTGAATATCCCTCAGATTAGAATCCTCAGCTGGCTGGTAGACTCTTCCACGGACCCTGGGAGCAAGCAATATAGGCTGGACCTAATATTGTTTGCGTTACCAAACCCTCCAACTGAAAATCCTTCCGGCCCTTAGCACCTGGCACTTCCTGTCTGGCCAACATCTTATCCCTCATGGAGCCCCAGCCCATCCGAGCCAGCACAGCAGCCACTTCAGTGCGTGATAGTGAATGCGTGCTTGTGCAGGCGAGGTTCTTTGAAGGTTCGCTTTCTTCGATGCTCTAAAAATGTTAACATGGACTTGTGTTTCCTTCTCTTCCCCATCCCTTTACCCCTCGAGGTATAAAATAGCTCTGATGTTACCCCCTGCATTTGTTATTCGGAAATCTCTGCTTGGCTGTGGTTAGTGTCACAAAGAAGACTGTGCTCAGACCATGGTTTCTTCCTGGAAGAAGATACCCTTATGGAGAGCTGTCCCCTAGGCCGTGGGGCACACGCTAAGGACGCAGCTAACACGGAACAAGCATGCTCTCAGACAGAGGCCGTGGGGGCCACACTAACACCGAACAAGCATGCTCTCAGACAGGCCAGGGGAACTTACAGTGTCCACTATGTCAACCACTTCTTCCTCTGTGCTCTGCAGCTTGGTGACAATGGCTGCTCTTCTCAGATTCAAGTATTTCAGCCGCTCTATAACTGTCTACATTTAAAGAACAGATATTTGAATATATTGGACTTGAGTCTGTCCAACCTTATGAAAAAGTCACGGGCCCGCGCTTCAGGCTCATGCTTCTCCTGAGATTCTGGGTGGAACCCACCCAGGCTTTCCTGCTGCTGTGCACTACTGGAGATCTTTGCTAATTTTTAAAATAGTTTTCAATAGTTTGCTCTTTGGAGGCAACATTTTATGTACCCCAGGCTCTCCTGGAACTTGATATGTAGTTGAAGATGATTTTGCAGTTCTGAACTGCCTGTCCCCACCTCCTGAGAGCGGGGTGACAGCATCCTGTCCACTTTGTGCAGTGCAGGGGACAGAAGCTGGGGCTTCACCCGTGCTAGCTACGCTCTGAACCGACGGAGCCCCAGCCCCAGCTCTTGGGTATTTCTTGGCTTCTGTATGCACGACTCCACTCTCTCCCTCTGCTGTGACACTGTTACCCTCTGCCTCTATGACCGAGGCTGTCCTCATGGGACTGAGACACTCCAGTTAAATATGGCCTTATCTTAACTGGAATGAGTACTCAAAGACCTCATGTTCAAATAAGGTCACAGTCACAGACTAAAGTTGGATCTTTGAAATATTTTTAGAGGACACATTTCAACCCATGACATGCTGGCCTCTGACCCTGGCCCTTCTTAGACGAAAAAGAGCCCAGTGAAGGAGAGGCAGCTACTGAAGTTTATGCTGTTATGGACGGTAAAATGCCACGGACACAGGAGCCAGAGGAGGTGAGAATGGGGTCTAGCCGATGATCTGTGTGGAGTACAGCCCCGACAGCACCTTGACTGGACTGTCACCTTCCAGAACTATGACAGAATAAGGTCTGTCCTTTTCAGTTCCCCGGTTTGTGGAACTCTCCCATGGCAAGTCTAGGAAACTAATACAGATACTATGTGGAGGAATCTGAGGTAAAAAATCAAGCTAATAAAAAATGTGTTTTGAGAGATGGTGAGGCAGTCGGAAGCCTGATGGTGTGGATGAAGTCTGGAGTAGACTGGATTACTGCTCACATTCCGACCTTGTCCGGCTTTCCTCGTTAACACATTAGTCCATTTTAGGTGGCATATACTTCCTTAGCCCCTTAATGCTCAGCTTCTCCATGTTACTTGCTTTGGAAAATGGGATGTTCTAGAGTACCAGTTCCAAACTGAGACCTGAACATTTGGCAAGTCTCAGCCAGGCTTCTTGAGGCTTCTATCCTCAAGAAGTGTGTGCAGGTAGCAAAAGGCAGGGAAATGCTCAGCACAGACCGAAGGAGTCCGTGTGTGCTGATGGACGGGCTGCAGATATGAGAACCGTAGACAAGGACAGGGTTCTGAGGATGGAGTTGACACTTACTGAAAGAGGAAAACCAAGGAAGATGCACATTTGGGGTGGACAGTGTTGGCTGTGGAGTACTATCCTGCACGTTTCACTATGAGGTGAGTATTAGGCATCTAACTGGACATGCAGCTGTTGAATGTTGACCGAGGGAGCTAAGTGTACTGGCATATGATTTGGGGGAAAGATCCAGGCCAGTAAAAAGATTTTAAGTCATGCATTTCTGAGAAGGTAGTCAATACCATTAGACCCAATGAAGTCTCCTAAAGGGGACGGAAGGACGAGTGGGGCACAGAAGAATTCACAGGGACTGAAAACTCTACTGTCCTCAGCCTTAGACATTAGGTCCTTGACGTGTCCAGGAGAAGCGAAGACGCCATTGTTGTGGGGCTCCCAGAGGCCAAGAGAAGACGAGACTGGGAAAGAGGAGTGAACAGCTGTGGCAGGCGTCACTTTTAGATTCAATTAGATGAAGACTGAACATGACCCCCGGCTTTGGCAAAGAGCAGAGAGGGCTTGTATTCTTTTAGGCACATGTCCCTGTGAGGACTAGGCTGCTCTCTGGTCTGCCTCCACCACTGCTCTCCTTAGCATGGTGCCCCCAGGGAGATAAGTCATTGTCCTCAATTCTTCCTCTCTTAATTCCCTTGCTAAGCGGCTGACAGCTCCCACCATGTAGACTTGGGAGGCATTTCTGCCTTCCTCCACCCTCCTCTGCCCACTCCTACTGCTACCAGCGTAGGTTAGGCTGCCATCTTCTGCTGGACTGACCAGGAGAGCCACAAGGAGCTATCCTACCACCAGCTTGTATGTCCACTACTTTCTCCTCATGCAGTCTGAGGAGATTGTTAGCTTTCTGACTTCAAACTTCTCACTGGTTGTCTGTTCCCTCATGATGAGGTCTACACTCTTTAACTGAAGTCTCTTCCCAGTTCTATAGAACCCTGGGACTACTCCACACTTCCTATCTCACCCCCATAAGCTCAGTTCCTACAGTTGTTCTTTCTCAACCCCAGGGCCTTTGTACAGACTCTTCCCTGAGCAGAGAATGTGTCCCACCCACTCAGGCACCTAGCCTTCAGGGTCTAATTCTTACTCATCCTCTAAGTGAAATTCACACAGATGACCATTAGGATTTGCTCTTTTGTCATGAACTCCTTAATACCGTATACTTCTCTAACGATAACACAAACTACCACTTGTATATTTATTTTCTTCAATATATTGGACGCTGTATGATGGGAGGCACTCACGAAATCATCAGCTTCCTTCCCATATGCATTCCTAGGGCTTATCATTATGCCAGATATTTAGGAGATTGTAAAAAATGGTTATTGTGTTTTGTGTTATTCACTGATTTGTGGTGCTGGGTACTAGACCTAGAATCTCATTCGTAACACAAATCTTTAGTGATCACAGTGGGTGTAAAGTGGCAGCCATTCTGGTTTTAAGCTGCACACCCTTAATGACTAGCGATATTCAGCCTCCCAGCCTGTGCTTATTACCTGCCATTTGCTTTTACTTTCCTTGGAGACACTGTGGGCATAGAGAAATTTTACATTCAAAAGCAGTTTTGCCTTCAACATGAACAGATGAATTTTAAAGTGTCGAAGCAAAAAGGAATGGTCCTGAACTAGAGGTAGAATTCTGCTCACAGAACAAGCATAACACTGAACACTTCAGAGTCACTCAGCTGCAAGATGTCTGGGCTGCACCTTGCACTCACCGTGAAGAGGTCCTCTGGTGACTTATTCCCATCGAGCTCGATGAGGTACTGGGGATTATGCTCAGCCATTATCTCCTGGAGAAAACCAAATAGAAATCTGATAACTCAAGGTGATAGAGAGAGTTGAATACAAGATGAAAACCTTGATAGCTAATAGGAGATCTTAAGAGCTAATTCATTCACCTTATGCAGGTTATAATGGGCGTCATCTTCAGCATTGGGCAGGTTTTCTGCAAAAGCAGAGCTAGCCTTCCTACCATGAACATTTGTTTGAGGTGCTGGGGATTTGGACAGACTAGACAACTGCTCGATCACTGAGCTACACCCCCAGTTCCTGCTCCTTCCCTCGCCCCATTTTTCCTCTGCTCAGAAGTTAAAAGTCCTTCCCAGTACAGAAGGTTTTCAGGGCATTTCACAGCACATAACTGTAGCTTTGCTACTTTTTACTGAAACCACAGAGAAAGCTGATTGAATTTTAAATCATACTTTCTTCATAGAGATAATAGCATCATTTAAGTAGTACGATGCACCTTTTATTACTGTTGAGCACACTTGTTTTATAGAAAATTTACAGAACAGAAGAATACAAGGAAAAGCATCTTTAATCCAGGCACTGAAAGGAAGCTACTACTGTTTCCCATTCATCTTTTGTTCTGTGAAGTCTTTTCTGCATATTCGAGATCATAATGTATGTCAAACTCTGGAGCCTACTTTCCCAATAAACATTATGATTAATATTCTTCTATATCTCTACAGGATCATGCCCACATCACATCTTCATGGTTGTATAGGATTACATAGTGTGGCTACAGCTCCTACACTCCTCTGCTATTCCACATTTAAGTAGATTATAACATCTTGATAATTGTTTTAAAGCATTTCTACATTTTTTAAAATTAAAATATATTTCCTTCAATAATTATCAAAGTAGCCGGGCGGTGGTGGCGCACGCCTTTAATCCCAGCACTCGGGAGGCAGAGCCAGGCGGATCTCTGTGAGTTCGAGGCCAGCCTGGACTACCAAGTGAGTTCCAGGAAAGGCGCAAAGCTACACAGAGAAACCCTGTCTCGAAAAACCAAAAGAAAAAAAAAAAGAAAAAAAATAATTATCAAAGTAGTTGGGCTTACAGCAGCCACTGAGAGACAGTCATACATACTCTTTTTTTTTTTTTTTTTTTTTTTTTTTTGGTTTTTCGAGACAGGGTTTCTCTGTGTAGCTTTGCGCCTTTCCTGGATCTCACTCTGTAGACCAGGCTGGCCTCAAACTCACAAAGATCCGCCTGCCTCTGCCTCCCGAGTGCTGGGATTAAAGGCGTGCGCCGCCGCCGCCCGGCCAGACATACTCTTCATCCTCTTTATTCCCATCCTCCTCCTTGACATAAGTACTGCACACATACATGTGTTGAACACCTACTGAGCGTCTTTATACTAGATCCCCAGACACTGAAAAGGGCTAGCTTTCTAAAAGCAGGTTTCTACCATCAGTAGGCACTGTTTGTTGGCTTTCTGGAAGGCTGTGTAATTCCAAAGTCTCACAAGCACTCCAGAGAGACGTCCTGCCACCACTGGTTAGTTTAGCTCTTACAGTCTGACAAACTGAGTTAAAAATGGGCTCTGTTTTAACTTTTCATCTAGCTGGTGAGGTCCCTGTAAACAGCCTAGTGACTTCAGAAAAACAATTGATCCCGAGAAGCACAGAGGTGCTTTGTAGGGGTGAAATAACATGGCTGTGAAAAAGAGACCTGGGCTGGAGAGACGACTTAGTGGTTAAGAGTTCCGCTGCTCTCACAGAGGACCCGGGTTCCATTCCGGGCCCATGTGGTGGCTCGCAACTGCCGGTAACTCCAGCCCAGGTTCCTTTACCCTCTCTGGGCCTCAAAGGCTCCCGAATACATGTGGTACACATAAACACTCACACACATACACACTACACATACTACACAGACACATAGACACACACACACACACACACACACACACACACACACACCACACCACACACACACACAGACACACATACATACACACACTACACATACATATACATCACACACACACACCACACACACATAGACACACATACGTACACACACTACATATACATATACATCACACACACATCACACACACACACATACACATACCGCACACACACACGTGCGCACATACACACAAAATAAGTACACCTTTAAAAAAGAAAGAGACCTGGAGGTGGAAGCCTTTTCTGAAGGCTCCCATCAAACAAAGACACTTGAAAGCCATGTGACCACAGGCAAAGCACACATGTCAACACTCCCACTTTAGCAATGCCTTGTTCTTACTTCTAAAGCATCAAGAAGTTCTTCCTTATAAAGTTTCACAGTATTCTCGATGTTCTCCAAGTAATCCTCAGGCCTCTGAACCAGGTGTTGAAGCATTTCTGCCACCATCTGCATCTCAGCAATCAGCGCCTAAATGGGGAAACATAAAAACTCTTTAGGGCAATGGCCGTCTCGTTTATGAGGGGCATCCCGGAACACCATCTTGTGGGGAGAAGCAAGGACAAGAGGAAGGCTGGAGACTGAGAACTTCATGTTTTAGAGAGGGAGCACTCCCGGGAGTCTTTGTTGGAAACTGAACTGTGTGTGTGTGTGTGTGTGTGTGTGTGTGTGTGTGTGTGTGTGTGTGTGTTCACGTACAAACAGAAGCCAGAGGTTAACATCAGGTGCCTTCCTCATTGACTCTCCACCTTTCTTGAGACAGCATCCCTCAGTGGACCCGAAGCTCACTGGTTGGCCCGCCTCTCCTGAGAGCCAGAGCCCAGCCGTGAAGAGCAGATATCTACTATTATCACACTTTCAGACAGCCTTTCCTCGTCCCATTGCATTCTGGTTACTAGACTTGCACTTGGATCATCCCAACCACACACATTAGTGAAATCAAGCTCTAGATTTACCCTGTGGGTTCTCTCTATCAGAGGTTGGGCTCCAGGTTGCAGTAGCCTCACTCACAACAATGTTGGGCTACTCTGCTGTTCATGTTACATTGTTTCTCTTACTGCCCTAACCCCTCATTCTACATCTACAGTGCCTAACACTTAGTGGATGACAAATAACTGTTGCTATGAAATAAAGCAGCCTGGTTTTCAGAATATGAAGGAGCTTTCCTGACAGGGAGTTTAATCTTCACCTTGACACTGGCATCTAATAGTTCTGGCACATCCTGCAGATGGCCTCTTCACTTTGATAGAAAGTCTTAATTAGATGCAGTTCCAATTGTCTATTCTCGCCCCGAGCTCCTGGGCTAGTAGAGTTCTACCCGGAGAGCTGCTTCCTGTGCCCACATCCTCAAGTGTTTTCTGTATGTTTTCCTCTGCTACAGTAGTTCTCAACCTATGGGCCATGACCTCTGGGGTTTGAATGACCCTTTCACAGAGGTCACAAATCAAATATCCTGCATATCAGATATTATGATCTATAACACAGACAAATTAAATTGTAGTTATGAAGCTGGGTGGTGGTGGTGCACGCCTTTAATCCCAGCACTCGGGTGGCAGAGCCAGGCGGATCTCTGTGAGTTCGAGGCCAGCCTGGGCTACAGAGTGAGTTCCAGGAATGGCGCAAAGCTACACAGAGAAACCCTGTCTCGAAAAATCAAAAAAAAATTGTAGTTATGAAATAGTAACAAAAATAATTTTATGGTTGGGGCCACTACAACATGAGGAATTGTCTTAAAGGGTTGCAGCATTAGGAAGGTTGAGAACCACTGCTCTAGTAGTTTGAAAGTTTGAGTCTTACATTAAGGTCTCTGATTCATTTTGAGTTGGTTTTTGTGCAGTGTGAAAGATGGGGGTCTAGTTTTATTCCTGTGCCTGTGGATGTCTCAGTTCCTTAGTGCTGTTCACTGAAGATGATGTCTTTTCAACATGTTTACGTCAGCTTCATGGAAATCAGGCTGGTGTTGCTCTGTGAGCTGATGTCTGGAGCCTCTAATCCATGCATTGGTCTACTGTTGGGAAGGGACTTCTTAGCCAAAGTGGGAGCCTCTACTTCCTTCACTGCCCCAATCCGCGTGATCCCAGGCTCCCTGACTCTTCCTTCTCCTCCAAACCATACAACCTGACAGACCATTTCCCTCGTCAGCCTCCCAGGCGCGCACCGCTGAGTACGGGACACCCCAAATCCCTTACAGCCAAACACAGTTCTCCTGTCTTCATCCAACTACAAACCCCTTTCACTCCTACCCAGGGCAAAAGCAAGACACAGCCTGCCCACCTGGTCCTGGCTCTTTAGAAAGTTTTGTCGACCTGTGTTCTGTGTGCAGACGGGTCTGTGTTTTCGGGTGTGTCTGTAAGTCTTGTGGCAGACATGGGAGCTGGTGTAGTCATATCTGTTGGGAACGGCAGAAGCCACATAGCCAGCACAGCTGCTTGACAAAGATCCAGCAAAGCTGAGCCGCACGATCGCCGCCATGCTGCTTTTGGTTCTGACTTCCGTGTGTTGCATACTTGGTGGGCTTTTAATATTTGTTCAACTTTGGGATATTGGATTGATGAAAAAAAATTATGAATCATTTATGCCTTCTCCTAGGAGTACAGCTTCTAAGCTTCCCCCAGGAAAGTCCTGAGCACATTACTACTCCCACTTTTAGGGAGATATCCTTATCTACTTGAAGGTCTTCCGCCTTAGAGGTTGTGACGTACATAAAGAAACCAGAGACCTCTTTATGACGCTATGAGACACTCTTGAAACATCTGCCCCTGTACTTACTCAGGAAGAAGATGGTCAGAACAAAGTACTGTAACATGATATGCTCAGGCAATTACTTGGCATACACAGCAACAAAGTTAGATTGGCTGGAGTTACCTCCGCCCTACACAGGGGCTTATATTGATGGGCAAATAATGGTGTGGAAAAATGATAAAAGAATGAGGGTCAGAACCTCCCTTTCTTAGAAAAGTTCGCTAGTGCAGGGCCACTGTGGTGTCATGTGACCAAGGAGCAAAAGAATGCCAGGATTAGACATAGAAATAGATTCTATAAAGATATAAAATATGAACATTGTATTATGTCAGAAATTGAATAACTGCAGCAGATTTGGCCTGAGGATTCTTCTTGAACACTCTGACTATAAAGAGTTAATAATACACTGCTTGGGACATGGTGATCTGCCTAGGCTGGCTTGGAGATTTTCTTTCTAGCAAACTTGAAACCTAGCAAACAAGAGCTGCCTAGAAGTTGGGTTATGGAGTTAACGAGGGAAAATGAGTGTAAACGGTAACTGTTGTGTCATGGTTTATCAATGATGACTAGAAGGTGTGCAAGAGGAAGTGAAACACATGTCCGGGAACAGAAATGATAGGATCTATGATCTGGAACAACATGAGTCTACCCCTGCTCACTGAATTCTCTATAAATAAAGAAGCACTCTGGCTGCCAGACAGTCAGGCTGCCAGATTCTCCCGACCACCAATGGCCTGGCTCAATCCTCCCTCGCCTCCTCTCTGGAATCTGTCAGCCTCCAGGGCTGGCCACTGGCAGGGAGCCGAGACAGAAATGGATCAGGCTCAGCTGAGTGTATGAATGATGGTGGACACTGCATGTCTGGTTTTGGAGTGGTCTCCTTTGAGCTTGTGAGCTTTCTGTGTTCTGTGTTTATTGGTTTTGAATTTGCTCTCTGCCACTGCCGCTACCAGCCAGCATGGCTGACGCCACTCGCCATGGCTGCTTTGAGGACCAGCTCTCAGAATTTACCTCTGCGCTTTCGGGTCACTGGATTCAGTTTAGCAGGGATTCGAATGTCTTTTGAGTGTAGATAATATTCAAGTTGTTTTATGCTATCTGCTTTTGATGGAAAGCTGGCTCTGGAGTTGGCTCTGGACTTATGGACCCCCCTCCTCTAGAGCCAAGCATGTTTGTTTAAAGGTGTCCTCCAAATCTCTGTCCTGTGTCAGATGGACAGAAAGGAGAGCAAAACAAAAGGATTTAAAGCAGAGGCTCTCAACTGGCCACCATGTGCTATAAAATCGGTGAGAGTTAGAATGACTAACAGCAGAGAGAGGTGGTCTTTGTCTCTTCCTCAGGGAGGAATGTTGCTTTTATGTCAACTAGTCAGGTATAATAAAAGATAAGATCTGACAACTCCAGATGGATCTCCAAAATGTAAGAAACAGCTGGACGCCTCTGGTCAGTGGATCATTGACAGTCCAATACAGAACTGGATATTACCCTTTTTAACCCCCTTTTCTTCCTTGTCTTAATCCTACTAATTGTACCCTACCTCATAAACTTCTTGCCTAGATTTCTTCAACAACAGATCAAAAAGATTTCTAACCAGACTTTTAATCAGTTGTTATTACAAGATTCCTGGCCCCTAGCTACAGAGCCAGAGGCCAGCAAGTCAAAGCAAAGATCAAGCTTGCCCCAAGGACTTCAATGCCCCCATTCAGCAGGAAGTAGTCTAATGGTAATGTCACCCCCTTTCTCTACCCCTGATTGTTTATCAGTAGTGAACAAAAAAGGGGGGAATGCAAGCCCCTTACAGTGTGAGTAGCCAGGTGCCACCCAGACTACTCTAAAGGCCATAATGGCTGTTTTCAGCTCCTCAAGACACAGGCAGCCAAGCTCTACCTTACAGAAAACAAAACAGAGCAAAAAGCAAACAAAACAACCCAAGATCAGACCACAGAATTCCACCCGTCCCTGAGATTGCTCTAAGATCAGGCCATAAAATTCCACCAACCCTAGGCCATCCTAGAAAGCTCTGCCCCCAGTAAACCCTACATAAAGCCTGCCTCCTGCTCAGTTCTTTGCTGCTTCTCTCACAAGCAGAGGCAGCTGCTCTCTTGTGTCTTTCCTGATAAATCTCTCATGTGAGGTTTGTTGTGCAGTGTGACTTTGTGGTGTTCCTTGGCTCCTGACTGCCAGGATACCTCTCCCTTCAGAGCTGCACACCTGCACTGGGGAAACCCTTCCCCTCAGAGCTGTAACACTTATAGGGTGGCTCAATATACAAAAATCAATGTATGTAATTGTGGTAGTTTGAATGTATTTGGCCCCCATAAGCTCATAGGAAGTGGCACTATTAGGAGGTGTGGCCTTGTTGAAGGAAGTGTGAGTGTGTGTGTGGGGGAAGCAGGCTTTGAGGTCTCTTTGCTTAAGCTTTGCTCAGTGTCACAGACTACTTCCTGTTGCCTCCAAGATATAGGAGTCTCGCTACTTTTCCAGCACCATACTTGCCTGCAATCTGCCATGTCCCACCATGATGATAATGGACTGAACCTCTGAGTTCAGTCCTAAGAATTGCTGTGGTCATGGTGTCTCTTCACAGTAATTGAAGCCCTAAGATGGTATTCCACTATATAAACAAACTGAAAGAAAAAAAAACCTGCATAATCATCTAATTATATACAGAAAAGGTCTTTGATAAAATCCAGCATCGCTTAATGACAAAAGTCCTGGAGAGATTAGGGATACAAGGGGCACACTTCAACATAATAAAGGCAGTTTACAGCAAGCCCGTTGCTAACATCAACTTAATGGAGAAAAACCTCAAAGCAATTCCGCTAAAATTAGAAACAAGACAAGGTTGCTCACTCTCTCCATACCCATTCAATACAATACTTGAAGTTTTAACTAGAGCAGTAAGGTAACTGAAGGCGATCAAGGGGATACAGATAGGGAAGGAAGAAGTCAAAGTATCTTTATTTGCAGATGAAATGATAGTGTGCATAAGTGATCCTAAAAATTTCACTAGGGAACTCCTACAGTTAATAAACACTTTCAGCAAAGTAGCTGGATATAAAATTAACTCACAAAAATTAGTAGCCTTCCTAGATACAAATGGCAAAAAAAAAAAAAAGCTGAGAAAGAAACCAGGAAAACAACACCTTTTACAATAGTCTCAAATAATATAAAATATCTTGCAGTAACTCTAACCAAGGAGGTGAGAAACTTGCATGACAAAAACTTCAAGTCTTTGAAGAAAGAAATTGAAGATATCAGAGGATGAAAAGTTCTTCCATGCTCATGGATCAGTAGGATTAACATAGTAAAACTGGCTATCCTACCAAAAGCAATCTACAGATTCAATGCAATCTCCCTTAAAATTTCAACACAATTCTTACAGATCTTGAAAGGACAATTCTCAACTACACACACACACACACACACACACACACACACACACACACACATATACCAGGATAACTAAAACTATCCTGAACAATAAAGAACTGCTGGAGGTATCACCATTCCAGATCTCAAGTTATAATACAAAGCCATAGTAATAAAAACAGCCTGGTATCAACATAAAAGCAGACATATTGATCAATGGAATTGAATTGAAGCCCCAGATGTAAACCAACATACCTATGGACACCTGATTTTTGATAAGAAAGCCAGAAATATACACTGGAAAAAAGATAGCATCTTCAATAAATGGTGCTGGTCAAGCTGAATGTCAGCATGTAGAAGAATTCAAATAGAGCCACACTTATCACCCTGCCCAAACTCAAGTCCAAGTGGATCAAAGAACTCAGCCAGAAACACTGAACCTGATAGAATAGAAAGTGGGGAATAGCCTTGAACTCATTGGCACTGGAGAAGACTTTCTGAAAAGAACACCAATAGCACAGGCACTAAGATTAATAATTAATAAGTGGGACTTCATGAAAATAAGGAGATTCTGTAAGGCAAAGGACACTGTGAATTACATAAAGCGGCAGCTCACAGAATGGGATTAGATTTTTAACAACTACACATCCAAGAGAGGTCTAATATCCAAAATATATAAAGAACTCAAGAAGCTTGATATACAAGAACCAAATAACCCAATTAAAAAAGGGGGATACAGATCTAAACAGAGAATTCTCAATAGAGGAAACTCAAATAACTGAGAAGCACTTAAAGAAGTGTTCAACATCCTTAGCCATCATGGAAATGCAAATCAGAACTAGTTTGAGATTCCATCTTATATCTGTCAATGGCTAAGATAAAAAAAACACACAAGTGACAGCTCATGCTGGTGAGGATGTGGAGCAAGGGGAACACTCCTCCATTGCCAGTAGGAGTGCAAACTTGTACAGCTACTTTGGAAGTCAGTGTGGCAGTTCCTCAGAGAGATGTGAATTGGTCTACCTCAATATCCTGCTATACCACCCCTGGGAATATACTCAAAGGATGTTCCATCCTACCACAAAGACACTTACTCAACCATGTTCATGGTTGCTCTCTTCATAACAGCCAGAAATTGTAAACAACCTAGATGTCCCTCATCAGAAGAATGGATAATTAAAATGTGGTACATTTACACAGTAGAGTATTATTCACCAAAAAAAAAAAAAAAAAAAAAAAGTTTAAAAAAAGCCGGGCGGTGGTGGCGCACGCCTTTAATCCCAGCACTCGGGAGGCAGAGCCAGGCAGATCTCTGTGAGTTCAAGGCCAGCCTGGGCTACCAAGTGAGTTCCAGGAAAGGCGCAAAGCTACACAGAGAAACCCTGTCTCGAAAAACCAAAAAAAAAAAAAAAAAAAAAGTTTAAAAAAAAAAATGACATCATGAAACCAAAGCAGGCAAATGGATGGAACTAGAAAAAAGTCATCCTGAGTGAGGTAACTCAGATCCAGAAAGACAACACAGTATATACTTAATTATATCTGGATATTACCTGTTAACTAAATGATAACAAAGCTACAGTCCACAGACTCAGAGAGATTAGGCATAGGGGAAGGGGCCAGGAGGGACACATGGATCTCCCTGGGAGGAGGAAATAGAATAGATGTTATGGGTAGACTGGAGTCCAGGGTGGGAGGTATGAGAACAGGAGGCTCAGGTGGGGTGGGAAGGGGAAGGGGAGATGGGATTGAGGGAGGAAATGAGGGGAGAGACAGCTAGGGCAGTATGGAAACCTAGTGAGTGGAAACTTCCTAGAGTATATGAAGGCAGTCCTAATGAAGTCTCCAAATAACAAGGGAGGTGGACCCCTGCTGACAGTCTCTTGTCACCAAACAAAACGTCCAGTGCCAGAACTGAGCTTCATCCAGTGGAGTTGTTGGCCAAAGGGGTCCCTTAGAAATCCTCAAACAACCCAGGCTGCTGCCAATACAATAGGTTGCTCTCCACAAACTGACAGTAAGGTCCCATTGCTGAAGACGACACCCACACCACTCATTTAACATGGAGGGGGAGAGCTGGTACCTGCATAGAACCTTCACCCCCATGTGCCAGTGTCTACAACATGGAGAGGTACTCCGCAGGCTACCAAAAGAGAAAAGCCAACACCAACCCGGCAACAAAACCGTTGACCTACAATCTGTCCTGCCTCTAAAGTATGCCAGGGCAATGTGGCGCAAACCTCGTGGGAGTGACCAACCCTTGTCTGACTTGACTTAAGACCCACTCCATGAGATGGAACCCACACCTGACACTGCTGGGGTGACCACGAACCAGAGTCTAGACAGCCCAGAGGACCTAGTGTAAAACCAAATACTGCTGTTCTGAAAAAAGAAAAGTAACAATATAATGACTCCTAATGTTATTCTGCTATACTCATAGATCAGTGCCTTATCCAGTCATTATCAGAGAGGCTTCCTCCTGCTGCAGATGGGAACAAATACAGAGACCCATAGCCAGACATTATGCAGAGGGGGGGGGGGGGGGGACATAGCTCTAAATGAGATATCACCATCAAATCCTCCCCTCGGGGCTCAGGGAACCGGTGGAAGAGGAGGCGGGAGGAGTTGGGAGACAGAGGAGACGGAGGACCCCAGGATAACAGGACCCTTTAAAACAACTGAGCAAAGCTCATATGACCTCACAGAGTCAGAAGCAGCAGTCACAGGGCCCGCACGGGTCTGCACCAGGTCCGCTGCACACACACTATAGCTTTCAGTTTAGTACTTGGATGGAGTTCCCGAATGTGTGAATGAGTGGGTCCCTGATTTTTATGCCTTTTCTTGGGACTCTTTTATTTTTCTGTTGGCTTGACTTGGCCAACTTGGATATGATGATTTTCATTTCATCTTATATTTTATTTTGTTGTGTTTGATTGTCACCTCTTAGAAGCCTGTTCTTTTCTAATGAGAGACAGAGGGGACCGGATCCAGATGTGGGGAGGAGCTGGGAGGAACAGAGGAAGATGGAACTGTATTTAGATTATATTGTGTGAGAAAAGAATCTATGTTTAATAAAAGGGGGGAAGATTCATGAAAAATGTGTATCTCTACAGACCCTGGGAATCGAAATTAAAATTACACTGAGATTTCATCTCACCCAATTCGGATGGGCCACCATTGAGACCACAAACAGCCACCAAATTGCCGGCAGGGATGCAGAAGAAAAGGAACCTTTACACATCGTTGGTGGGAATGTAAGTTAGTCTAGCCACTATGGAAAATAATGTGGAATTTTCTCAGGAAACTAGAATTCAAATGACCACATGATCCAGCTATGCCGCTTGTGGGTATATACAGCCAAAGGGATCAAAGTCAATGTGCAAAAGATCCCTGAGATCTGTGTTTCCTGCAGCACTACTCACAATAGCTAAGTTATGGGGTTAGCCCATCTGGTCATCTGCCGTGAACAGAAAATGTAGACTGTGTGTGTGTGTGTGTGTGTGTGTGTGTGTGTGTGTGTGTGTGTAACATACACACACATATATGTATTATACACACACATGCACACACGCACGCACATACACACGCGCACACCCACACCCACATCAGTGTCTTCCTGCCATAAAGACTGCAAGTATGTCATCTAGAAGAACACCTGGAGCTCATCATCATGCTAAGTGAAATAAGCTACACTTAGGAAGGAAAACACAGCATGTTTTCTCTCATATGTGGAATCTGGATAAAAATAAATAAATCAGACCTAAAATAGAAAGGTGAGTATTTTGAGGGACAGAGGACCAGTGGGAGGGTGAGGGCATCAGGTAGGAATGATGGTGGTAAGCACAGCCAAAGAACGTTGCATGTGCACCTGAAAACGTCAAAGCAGAACCCACTGCTCTGTGTCATTAATATATACTAATTTTAATATGGAACATATTTTAAAATTAAAATAGTTCTGGAAACATGAGGTATTTTATCTATCTTCTCCAGACCATAAAAATGTAAAGAAATGTAATTTTCTCTGGCATCTGCTTTTCCCCTTGCTATCATTTAATCATAGTAGATTTTAAAGGCATCACGTGGCAAGGACCACACTGGAACTTACCTCCTCTTCTTCTTGTTCTTCTTCCTCTTCTTCCTCTTCAGATTTTCCATCTTTGGGGGGCTCCTTCTTCCTTCTCCTGCGACTCTCGATGATCTCGGGGTCCCACTGCTCTCTAGAGTATATGTACCCTGTAGAACTGTGTTGTCTTTGCCCAGAGATTCTTTGGCACAAATCATAGTCACCACACTATGAAACAATATTATGAGATCATTAAAACATTTGATTTCCTAGGAAGGCAGGCTCACACTAAGCCATGCTCAAGAGATAGGTGGAATAATTATCCCTTTAATGAGATACTGCACTTTCTCTTTTTGGAATTCCCACTCTGTGATGTAGTCTCTTATAGAACCTCAGACATGAAGCTTTGTAAGTCTGCCCATTTTTCTGAATTGCTCAGAAAAGTGTAACTTTTTTTTCTTCTTCCTGTTTCTTTTTTAAAATGTATTTATCATCATTTTTTATGTGTGTGGGTGTTTTGCCCTCATGTACATCTGTGTACCATGTATGTGCCTGGTACCCATGAAGGCCAGAAGAGGGCATTAGATCCCCTGTAACTGGATTTACAGAGGTTGTGAGCCACCATATGGATGCCGGGAATTGACCTGGGTTCTCTGGAAGAGCAGCAGGTGATCTTAACCACTGAATCATCTCTCTAGTCCCTCTCTTTTCTAGGCCTGATTTCTCTAATACTTTGGGCTTCTCATCCTCTTGGAATAAACTTCAGCTTTGCTTGAATTTAAATTTGGAATAAACTTTATTTCCTGTTTCATATTATCCACTAGACAAATTTAAATTTTTCCTTAAATTTGAGCAAATGCAATACTGTGATGGTATTTGCATTAGATTCTAGTCATGGCAAATTTCAGTACATGATCTACATGTCAGGTCAACAGTCTTATTTGTCTGAGATTAATACATATGAGATTATCAGACATTTTATATAGAAGAGAGAGGGCTAGCAGAATAGTGAAAGGAATGAAAAATAGAACAGAAAATCAGTTTGATTTGCAGAGTTTTCTAGGATTTTATAATTTTAGCTTAAAGAGGCTAAGAATGAAGGAAAATGAGGGGAATCCATGCATCTCCTGCCAAAACATTGATATAAATGTGCCATTTTTATTGTCACTTTATGGACAAAATATTCATAAAATTCAGAAATGGGACCTGAAAGAGCATGTTACACAGGCTTTAAATTCTGCAAACAGAGAAAACGTATCCCACATGGTAACCAAAGCCCAAACCAAAGTCTATAAGTAACTTCCATGTTTCAGGATGCTTACATGTGCACGGATTCACTCAGCTCTCAGGCTACCCACCAAGGGAAGTAATCTGATATCTTGCAGACGGTAATGTCGCATGGTGGTCTTCCCATCCACCCCTGCACTCTCTGTGTGCTTTATTAATGCTAGTGATGCTGTGAGAGCGCAAATTCTGCTTTGAACGTTTTGTAGAACCATCCAGGTGAAGGGGCAGGGAACTGCTGAGCAAATGTGACAACCTGAATTCAATTGCTGGAAGCCGTGAACCAAACTGGACACAGAAGTACGCATCTGTAACCCAGTCCTCCCCCAGGGAGACTGGCGTCTCTGAGAACAACTTCCTACAACCTCCACTACGCATGTGTGCCTGTACTCACACACTCAAAAATGAAGTGTCTGTCTTCAAATCCTAAAAATATCTAGATGTTCTTTTAGGATAGTAATGCTCAAACATGGGAGACATAACTCACCTGGCAAGCTTGCTACAGATTTCTGTGCCCCCTATAACTTTCTAATATCAGAGTGCCTTAGCCACTTTCAAAAACAGTGTCAGCAGCCAGGTGGGGGAGGAAACACCTGTGATCCCAGCACTGAGCAGGCTGAGGCAAGAGGCTTGGGAGTTGGATGCCATCTTGGGCAACATATTCTTGTTTGTTTGTTTGTTTGTTTGTTTGTTTGAAACATCTATGACTCTGGTGACCACCACACTCGGGGAAACAAAAGAAGCCAGGGACTGTGGACACCCCCACCTTGCTCATTTCCTGATTTCTTCATGCCATCTCTATGTGGAAGTGGGTGGTGGTGGTGTATACACTTGCATACTAGAGAGGCAGACCTTTACGTGGGCTTCTAAGTTTTCACCAAAGGGATTTTAATTAAGGTAGGTAATTAAAAAAAAAAACCTATACATTTGTCAGAAGCGATCATGGAGTTAGGAAGGCGCCCTGTTGTGCCTCAGACAGGGGTCCTCCAGGTTTAGAAGTGTGAGAATCACTTGGAAGACCCTGCAACCTAACAGCTGGAAGCCACCCTCAACCGCTTCTGATCCTTAGCTCAAGAATTTGCATTTGAACAAGCTTCAGGGCTCTGCAGCTGTTTGCTCTGAGAACCTGCTCTAGACGCCTGCTGGCCATACGTGTTCTCTGTAGCAAAACCCCTTTAAAGTATCATGAAAGACATACACTTTTTGCCGCAGAAAATATCCATACACGCACATTTTTACATATAATTTAAGGAGACTTATGAGTGCTTTGAGACTCATGGGTCCCAAGCTGGAAACTTCTAGTCTATAGAAACTACAGGCTTTTTCCCAATTAACCCCAAACTACTGAGAAGCTCGCATTGCACTGGGTTGTATAACACTTTGGTTACTCAGTGGATGCTAAGTGGAGACACTCGCTATCCGTTTACAAAGGGACTAAGTTAAGGACTTCCTATCCGCTCCGGAGCCTTCTTGTTTATGGTGTCTACAGAAGAGTTCTCATAGCTGTCCTGGGAGACTCATTCTTCCTGAGGAATGGCTGGTCTCTTGACTAATCACAGCTCCCTTTCTGCTGCCTCAGGTTAGTATGCATGTGTGGTTAATTGGAACTGTCAAATTGGCACAAGCTAGAATTACCTGGGCAGACAGACCTAGGGACTGTCTCGATCAAATTGGCCTGTGGGCATGTTTGTGGAGGACAGTCTTGATTGCTTTAATTGATATGGAAACCACCCAGCCTGAAATTAGTTGGGTCCTGGACTATAGAAGTGAGCAGGAAGTTACTTGAACATTAGACATACATACATTTGTTTGTCTCTACTCTTGACTGTAAATGTGATGCCTAGGGATGTTGCAGGAGAATTGTCTGTATAGCCATTCCACTGTGCCCAAAAAGCAACCCTGAATCTAGGACAGACTCAGCGATCGGCTACATAGGTATTTTCAGTTCCTGCTGCCTTGACTTCGCTGCTATGACGGACCGTGTCCTTGACTGTTTTCTGTTGCTGTGATACACACCATGAGCAAAAATACCTCCAGGAAGAAAGGGTTTGGCTTACATTTTCAAGCACCAGTCACCATTGAAGGAAGTCAGGACAGGAACCCGGAGCAGAAACCAAGGAAGAAGCTGCCGATTGGCCTGCTTTCAGACTCAGTGCTCAGCAGGCTTTTTATGGAGACCAGAACCACTGGCCAAGAGACAGCACTACCCATTGTGGGCTGAGCCCTCCTGCATCAGATTGGCCTGTGAGCCCCACAGATGTGCTCACAGGCCAATCTGAGATGGGCAAATTCCTCAGCTGAGGGTCCCACTTCCACTTCCCAGGTGACTCTACTTTGTACCGAGCTGAAAACAAAAACCAACCAGCAGAGGCTGTACCTAGCACTGAAAAATAAACATTTTCTCCCTATGCTGGCTTCTGTCAGGGTATTTATCAAAACAGGAACGAAACCAGGAAAATCAGAGCCTAGTTCAGCACTCCAATGTAGTGAACATTTGGGGCCTTTGGGTCTGTGGGCTCTCTTTTCACCAAGTTTAATTTCCTGTGTAATCTGTCCTTTACTTCCTGACATTATGTTTGGTTTTAGTTAATGAAGCTTATCTTCTGCCTCTGTCAGCAAATGTTATTATGTGGGTCATTCTCAAGTTTGATCAGATTTTTTTTCTTTTTTTTTTTTTCTGGTCTGACTGCATAGCCTAGCCTAACCTTACTCTTGATTCTTCTGTGTGAGCCACTACACCTGGCATGCATCACCACACCTGGCATGCATCACCACACCAGGCCTGCTCAGAATTTTGATTCAATCCTGCCCATTAGTAGCAGCAGGGTTACAGCACACAGCATGCTCAGCACTAGAAGACTTCCTCTCTCACAGCTGACCCTGACACACCCTTGAGTCTCAACATCAGAGCTGAGAACCCAATCTATCTGGAGCCATCATAAACCCTTTGGGGAGCCAGGCAGAGCCTGAACACCCAAGCTTTGCCGTTCACCATCACACACTTAGACAGTGCCCTACCAAACTATGGTCACAAGCCCATGAGGCAGCTGTTGCCATCTGCGTAACGAGGAAATTGAAGCGTCTAAACATGATCTGTCAAATTGTAGGAGACAATAAAGGGGAGAATTGGAAATATATCCAGTCTTGACTCAATCAATGTCATACAGTGTGCCTTAACGTTATACATATGAGTCCTTTGCATATTCTTTGATTTAATTGCTAACGTTACTAGAGGTGATTAGGTGCCATGCAGTGTACAAGGTCCGTGCTGACATGAACGAGTCATGATTATACTGTCATGTAGGGGCTGTGAAGGAAAATGGACAATTGTAACATAGAGAGGTAAGTGATGTAAGAGATAAACAGGGAAGGCTCCCAGAGAAACAATGAACAGCTCAGAGGTAAGGGTGTGTGTGTGTGTGTGTGTGTGTGTGTGTGTGTGTGTGTGTGTGTGTCTGTCTGTCTGTCTGTTCATCTGTCTGCCTGTCTGCGTGTCTGTGTGTCTGTGTGGTGGCACTGGGGGAGGAGCTGCCAGGGCAAGTCCTGATGAGATTTACTTGTTAATAGCTATGTAAAGCCGACACCGCTTTCCAAAAATTAGCTATGATTAAGTCTGGTGATGGGGCAAAGAAGTGTTTCTGGTGGGCGGAGCTTCAGGAGCAGAAGCTCAGAAGTGTGGTACATAGATGACTGTTTCCATAACTACTCAGAGAGCACAGAAACATGGGCCAGAGACATGGCTCGGTGCTTCAGAGTATGTACTGCTCTTACAGAGGACCCAAGTTCATCAGGTGGCTCACAGCTGCCTGTGACTCCAGCCTTGGGGAGGGGGGTCTGACGCCCTTTTCTGGCCTTCTTAAGCATCTGTACTCACTTGTACAAGCCCCGCCCCTATTAAAAATAAAATAAATCTTTTTTTTTTAAAGTGTGAAAGCATTCCCTGAATTTAAGTTTTCTGAAAAGAAAAGATTTGCTGTTGCAGGAAGCAACTAGTATCCTTACCTTAATATTGATTATGACATCTGGTTGCAATTCTAAACTTTTAACAAGTTCTACTTGGTTCAAAGTGGTCAGGTTATCCTGTGACAGTGTTGGTATTTCAGTGATGATGTAACCTATTAAAATATAAGTTAACAATTTATAATATTATCACTATGTGAGAGCATGGCTTTGTTATAATTTATAAAATATAACATAGCTATTAACAAGTAAATGAAGTTCATACAATTATCTGTCACGAATTTTAAGTTAATAGTTATTACCACATGAAGTGTAGCTGTAAATAATGTTTTTCTGATTTAAAAAAAAATCGCTGACTAGGAGAAAACATTTTTGTAAATTCTAAGTCGGGGGCAGGCAAGATGGCTCAGAAGGGTAAAGGTATTTGCCACAAAGCCCAACGACCTGGGTTCAATCCCCAGGGTTCATAGGATGGAAGAAGAGAACCAGCTCCCTCAAATTGACCTCTGACCTCGACAGGCATGCCATAGTGTGCATATTTTCCCCCTAAACCATAAGAATACGTAAATAAATGTTTTAAATTCTTTAAAAACCTATGTCAGTTTGTTTTAGATGAGACACTTACGGAAAGAAACTCCACGCTAATACTTCTTTAACTCAGGTTAGAAAGGGTCACATGACTTTTATATGACCTATTATTTTCATTTTAAATTGGTACTTAATAACATAGTGGAACACATACATGTGATATCTGTGTAGTTATAGAGAGTGATGAAACAAGCATGTAGCAGCTGCACAGCTTAAGGAACAGAGCACAGTATGATTGGGGCTTTAGAACATTTATTGGCTTTCATTCCCACACAGAAGCTGAAATCTTCTCTTTGAAATGTGTCTTGGGTACCACCATCACATTGATTCCCTCAATATACTTTTAAATTATGTCACTTGCTTTCCCGAGAAACTTTTCTCTCATTAGTAAAATAAGTCTCAACTCCTCAGCTGGAAATTAAAGGACTTCAATATATTTTTCTGCTATTTTTATTTTTTCCCCTTTGAGGAACAATTGTAAACTATGTTTCAGCCTTGAGAACTTAGCAAAAAATTTATGAAAAGTAAATAAAGTAAGATAGCCATTGAAAGGACAAATGATGTTATTGGTGGCTTCATTTCTGATTTGCTTTGATACAGTTTTTTACTGTACCATATTTTATTTTTAATCCCTATATTTTTATGTAGCTTTTTAGATTTTCAGCCCTGAGAACTGAACCTAGGGCTTCGAATATGCTAGGCAAGTGCTCTACCACCCAACTTCATTTCCAGCCTTAACTCTAAGAGTCCTAACAGTTACAAAGTTCTCTCTTGACTCTCTTCCGGAATTTTCCTTTCAGCCAACAAATCTATTTCGGGAGACATCTTTCTCCTGAGGCATGCTTATGCTTCTTCCCTTCTTTTGCAAATATCTCAGCGTTTTCCTCTTTTCTTTTGAGTTGCCCTGGCTTCAGTGGCCTTGTCTGAAAAACTAGAGAGAGCAAAGCCCTTGCTCAGAATCCTTTTGTGCAGGGAGAGATTTTTGGGGTGTGGCCAGAGGGCAGGCTGGGTGAGCAGGAGTAGCCCTGGCAAGGAAGGCTCAGGGGGAAGCAGTTCCGGTTCTCACACCACTGACAAGGCAGCAGTGGCCGGGTGAACAGGGAGCAGATGGTAGAAGCCACAGACTGCAAGAAGGCCAAGGCACCTCCTGGACACTTTGATCCATCAGATAGCAGAGCGCTAAACAACACTGAGGGCTTTTAAAAAAGCAAATGTGGCTAGGTGGTAGTGGCGCACTCCTTTAATCCCAGCACTCAGGAGGCAGTGGCAGGAGTTCGAAGCCAGCCTGGTCTGCAGAGTTCCAGGACAGCCAAGGTTATATAAAGAAACCCTGTCTCGGAAAAAAACCACCGCCAACAAAAAACCCTAAAAGCAAATGTGGACACTAGAGGATTAAAAGCAAAGAAGCACTTGAATCTATCTGAGATGCTGTGGAATATTACTTTAAGATGTGTTACATTTGTTTATGCTCTGGAACATTTGTTTGATGCAAAGATGTGTTGCATTCTTTTATGTTGTATTTGTTTAACTCTGTGAAGCTGTGTTACTGTGCCTGTCTAAAACACCTGGTTGGTCTAATAAAGAGCTGAACGGCCAACAGCAAGGCAGGAGAAAGGATAGGTGGGGCTGGCAGGAAGAGAGAATATATAGAAGGAGAAATTTGAGAGGATAGAGGAACAAGATAACAAGGAGAGGAGGACACTAGAGGCCAGCCACCCAGTCACCCAGCCACACAGCCAGCCACTGAGTAAGAGCGAAAGTAAGATATACAAGTGTAAGAAAAGGAAAAAGCCCAAAGGCAAAAGGTAGATGGGATAATTTAAAGTTAAAGAAAAGCCAGCTAGCAACAAACCAAGCTAAGGCCAAGCATTTATAAGTAAAAATAAGCCTCTGTGTGTGATTTATTTGGGAGCTGGGTGGCGGGTCCCCCAAAAGACCAAAGAGAAAAGTGTTAAAAAAAAAAAAAAAAGCAAAAACAAACAACAAGATGCTCAGCTCAATAGGGGCTGTGAAATTCCTGAGTCAAAAACCATAGAAAGGAATCCAAGAAACTACCAATGGTGCTTCCCTGCACACACACACACACACACACACACACACACACACACGCACGCACGCACGCACGCACACACCACATACCAAAGTGAGAAACTTCTGGAGACTTGAGCTTCTCCAGGATCAACTTCATGACGAGCTCGTCTGGGATGCTGTGACCGCCCACCAGCATTGACTGCAGCTAGAACAATCATAGAGGCTGGGGGTTACTGCACACTCTCTATCTGGGACTCACAATTTTTGAGTTAGCGTAGTAACTTGGAAATACAGATTCACTTACCGTGGTTCCCATTTCAGTCTCAGTGGCAGTGATTTCTTCTAAAACGGACAAGGCTAAAACAGGAGTTCAACATATGAGTGCAAGCTGAGATTCACATGGCTAAAATAAGAAACACTTGGTGAATGTCTGGGAACTGGTGGCTAAGTCACCTGAGACATGTTTATGCGTGTTAGATCATTTAGCGTTGGCCAAAGTAGAGGCAAAGGATTGTTCTGCGTAGAGTTTTTCTTGGCCACCCCACCAGCTTAAAATCTTGGTGGAGTAACTCCCTCGGGGCCACTGTGCCTTGGGTGACTGTGCAGTGACAGGAGGAGGAGGAAATGATGTGGTGTGACGCTGATGTGTAAATTGTCCCAAATCATGCAGAAGCATACAGCGGTACTATCAGTCTAGACCCTTTTTTTTTTTTTTTTTTTTTTTTTGGTATTTTTGAGACAGGGTTTCTCTGTGTAGTTTTGGAGCCTGTCCTGGAACTTGCTCTGTAGCCCAGGCTGGCCTCGAACTCACAGAGATCCTCCTGCCTCTGCCCCCCAAGTGCTGGGATTAAAGGTGAGGCGTGCGCCACCAGCGCCCAGCCAGTCTAGACCCTTTTAATGCCCTGTCTCATTAACTGTCCGTGTCGATAGTATAGAAGAAAAACAATGCATCAGGAAATGTGAAAATGGATAAACACTGATTCAAAAGAGGAACCCTGAGAACTCCAGTCACTCTGTGTCTCTGCTGGAGGACGTCCTGGTAGGATGGCGGGAGCTTGACCTAGGGGAAGACTTGTTGAGTTAGGGCACCAGCTGTTGAGAATGTATAGAAGCCTTGACATTTCCTTCAGACTTCCTAAACATGAACTTTTTTATTTAAGAAAATGGGCTGGAGAGGTGGCTCGGTGCTAAGATAATCGCCGCTTTTGTAGAGGCCCCCCACGGCAGCTCAGTATCTTCTCTAACTCCAGTCCAGAGGATCCAAGGCCTCTTCTGGCCTCCGTGGGCACCAGGAACACAAGTGGGGCACATTCATACATGAAGAACAGCCATACACAGAAAACAAAAATAAGCCTTTTTTTGAACAGAGGAAAACTTCCGAGTTCTATGTGAATGTGCTCTGTGTTACTGATTGTTCTGCACACACACAAAAGTTGTGGCATCTCAGCTCTACTAACAGTGTCTGGAATGTCCATTTCATAACGTCCTTGCCAACAGTGGTTACCGTTAGTTCAGGGATTTTAATGATTCACCACCAACTTGTTAGACAAATATGAATCAGTGTTAATTATTTTTTAATAATATGATTTTAAACTTTTCTTGTATTTCTTAGATTTAGTTCTACTTTTCTGAGTGTTGTGTGTGTACTGTGTGTATGCACGTGTACATATGTACGTATGTATGTGTGTGTATACACATGTGAGCACATGTGTGTGGAAGCTAGAGGCCAGCCTCAGGTCTCACTCCTCAGGAGCCGTCCACCTTGAGTTTTGAGACAGGGTCTCACTGGGGCCTGGGGCTTGCAGCCATTTAGGCCAGGTGGCCAGTGAGCTCCAGGGATCCTCCTGTCTCTGCCTCGCCAGCACAAGACTGCAAACATTTGCCACCACACCTGGCTTTTGTTTACCTGGGTGCCGGGGATCGAACTCAGGTCCCCATGCTTGTGGGGCAAATGCTTCAGTGACTGAGCATTCTCCCCAATCCGTCTCTTTATGATTTCTTATTCATCCTTTTCCTTACTTTTCTATTAGGAAGTAAATAGCTTTACTGATTAGAAAGACGTGTGTGTGTGTGTGTGTGTGTGTGTGTGTGTGTGTGTGTGTGTGTGCATCAGCCTGTTGTCTTATATATTTCAAAGAATGTAAGGAAATGTATAAGTAAAAAGTATATTTTTTCCCAATGGAGATAATAAAGTTCTGGAAAATTCTCTGAAGAAAAGCTTCAGTTATTTCTCTTTCCATCTCTAAGATGATGCTCATCACATACATAGGCAGTTCTGATGGAAATAAAAGCTTAGAGGAAAGACAGATGTTTAATAAACGTGACTGGATAGATGCTACTAGAAAGTTGATATGCATCAGGTGGATAAATGTGTGACGAAGGAAACGTGATAAAACATTAGTTATGGAATCTTAATTGGTGTTCACATGGAATTCTGTGTTGTGAATCTTTTAAATTATTCATACTAAAATATTGGGAAAAAATTAAATTTACCTTCCACACGAATGCATTTCCATGCCTGTGCTATATTACGGGCTAATGTTGTCTTCCCAGACCCCTTTAAAAGAGAAATGTTATTAAAACCCAACAAAACATTCATTTCATGGTGAAGCAGAGGCACCAATTTAAAGAATTCTATTGATGGTTATTACATAAATGTTTACCCTATAAAATGAAGAGGGCCCTATACATTTAGAACTTAATTTTTCTCCACTAATTCTTGTATATTCCAATATCCTAAACCTATTTAAATACATTATTATTGAAGGAAATTGGGAAGCTATACTTGAAATCAGGAAGCTACACCATCAAGATATTGCAAAAATTTATAATTCTAATTATAAATCATCATAAAATATATTGAGATTTGTCATTTTATTTTCTTCCTAAAAGAAAAGGGAAATTTTGGTGACTTCCACTTAATAATTTTATTTCCTCTCTTTTTTTCAGCTTTGGGGTTCAACATATTGTGGCTACATGGGTGAGAACCTTGCCATTGAACGAAGCCATTGACCCTGCATTTATTTCTTGTTTTGAGATGGAGCCTCAGTTAAGCTGCCCAGGCTGGCTGTGGACTCACTCTGCAGCCTGAGCAGGCCCCATCGGTGTGGACCTCCTGCCTCAGCCTCTTAGACAGTCATGACAGCAGTCTCCACCCATACAGGTAAACCTCCTGATATCTTCGGAGAGTATCCTATTTCAAAGTTACAAGGTCATTCTCATGGGTCATATTTGCACCTAGATGTTGTCAGTGTTGACATTTAGAACCAGGTTCTTAGAAACATAATGAGAATTGTTGGAAATGATTCTTGGTTATCTGTCCTATGGTTCCTATCAAAAATTAAGCCAAAGATGGGATCCCCCTTGGCCTTTGCTGTTCTGGAAGTTTCTCTAACTGACTAGCCCAGTCCTCTAACTATTGATTAGCTCAGTGGCTGAACTTACACGGAGGTCCTTCCTACAGCTGCCTGGAAGTGAACAACTTTACCACAGCTCCTTCTGGGTTCTCCCCATTTTGCAGGAAGACAGTAGCTGGTTCTCTAATACACTACAGGCCCATTTGCCCTCAGCACCTTCTGGTGTTAACAGACATCTCAGTTCATCTCACATATCCAGAGAGCCTTATGACAAGTTTCTAAGGATATCTTATATTCAAATCAAATCTGAAGTAACCCGAGATCACAAAGCGGCAACAATCACCATGGTACAGAGTTTTGATAAGTTATATCCTTATAATATTAAAACCAACACCAATGTAGCCTAGGTTTCTCTTCTAGTGCTCAGCATAAGAAGAGAGGCATGTATACACTCAAAACCAATATTCTATCACAGTTGAAGTGATATTATGAAAATCTATCAGACACTAAAAAAATGAACATACTACGTAGTTTCCATCTTGTATGGTAATATAAGATTGTGATTTTAAAATAAAAAAATACCAAATGTCAGAAGAGATTACTTACTGGTTTTCCAAATATAATAAAGCAAGTAGGTTTGGACAACAAAAAGCTTCTCTCAGTTTCGTCTTCATTAAAAATATCTGCAAATGGATATTCGTCTGTCTTCTCTGCAGAAGCCATAATAGAACACACTACAATAAAAAAAGCAAAGCTTACAGTTGTTGGAGCAGGAAGGTGGGAAGAGCTCCACGAAGTTACTTAGCCCTGGGGCCGTTCCATATCATTAAACGATGAGAGAAAAACAGCATCTAACCAAAGCTGTTTAAAAGAAAAGTCAACATGACCAAAAGATCAAATTGAAAATATATACAGACACACATACATGTTATAATATTTATATTTCTACAAGGCAGATATCTAAATCATTTTTGGAAAGCTTTTGCTAGTTTGAGCTGTTAAATAGAGTTCTGGGCACAGCCCACCACTTTAAATATTATATCTGCAATAGTAGATTTTAATTTATGCTGCTTTTGTTGGAATGAATGAGAAATAAATTGGGTCAGTGAGTTTTTGGATTGTACAAAGACCATATCTTATTTTCAAGCATTTGTAAATTGCTTACATATTTGAGTCAATAAAATATTTGCCCATATAATGAATCGGTTATGTAAACAATAAAAATAACATAAACCATTTTTCTTTACTGCAGTGAAACGTTAAGAAAATGTCTTTGGCAAGCCGTTAGAGAAAGGTATTAAAGGTTCCCAGAACTGGTAAGTTAGAGTAAAGTTATTATGAGGCCAGCACATTCGTCAGTGTGCTGTGCTCCCTGGAACAACCAAGGGACATTCCTTTCACCAAGGCCATAAGAAACTGAACACATTCGGAGGCACAGTAACGAGTTCCATGATAGTGGCTGTCCTTTGCAGCCCGGGGCTGAGGGTAGGTGAGGCTGTTCTGCTCCTGGGTTCCCTCCCATATGTCCCTGGGGATGACCAGCTTTGGAAGAGCAGAGGCCATTTATAAACAAAAATTCAAACTGGGAAGGAGTCTCAGGAGAGCAAGACTCACAGTGATCAGCAGCGATGTTAGAAACGTGGTGGTGTCCTAAAGCTGAGACCTGGGAGGAGCAGGCAGAGGAAGTGTCGGCTGACACACACCTAAAACATAAGGAACAACTGAACCACACGTTGATATATCAGCAGTCTCAGGGGCGCAGTGAGTCCTGCTTCCAGCCCGGGAGCCGACTTCCTGAAGCGGAGGCTAGCGGCCCTCGACAGACCGAGCAACACTCCATAAGTATTTTCGCTGGCGATGCCACAGTCCTTCTCTAACGGAAGCTTGTAACCATCAACAGGAGAAACGTGGGAACTGACACACGCCTTTCTTTCTCTAAGGACTGCTGGGTGGAGAGCCCCAAAGTTGAGCAAATGCGGCAGCAGCCCATTGAGTGATAAAATGGAGAACTGTGATAGAATTGAAGCGGTCTGGAATGGCAAAAGTAAGGCTCATAAATATGCAGTCCAGGCTCCCTGCTCCGGGCCCTGTTATCTGTTTCTTATGTTTCTCTTTTAGGTCAACTCTCAGGTGGACTTCCCTGGGAACAGTTGACAGACGGAGAAAACCATCCCAGGAGAATCACAATGTATTGGTGCACACTGCATTGGAACACTTCTAGATTATAGTTCCATTTGCAGGTAGCTCTGAAAAATAGCGATTGAGGGACACCTTCCTGTAGGCAGAGCCTTAAGTGGAGCTTATAATTCCTCAAGCTGGTGGGTGATTCTGAATGGCTTTATCAAAGGGCGTAAAGCCAGATGAGAAAGGGAACACCGAGGAAGCTTGTGGTTGGACTTATACACAGTTTGGCAGATACATTTAAAGTGAGCTCTTCCCATCCACGTTCTTGTATGATCTCCTTCCCTTGAATGCAAGTGGGACGTGTGACTTGCTTTTCATGGTTCTCCTATATTATATTGGACTTCATCTTAGCAGTTGGAGAGAGACTTCCTCTTGGCTCAGAAGTAAACTGCTATGTTGTGAGAGGACCATGTGGCAAGGAATGGGGTCTGGTCTCCAGGACTGGAGAGCAGCACATAGCCAACAGCTCAAGAGGACAGGAACCTCAGTCCCGTCACCAGAGATGAATTTTCCCAATAACCAACTGGATTCTTCCCTAGTCATGTATCCAGTTGAGAGCACATTTCAGTCAACACCCGACTGCAGAGTGCCCAGCTGATCTTTGCCAGGATCACTGGCCAGGGAAACTATGAGCTAATAAATGTTTTGAGATGTTAAATTTGTGGCAATTTTTATACAGGATGGAAATCTAGTCTCAGCAAGGATGAAATGTGTAGATCCCTCCATTCACCAACCATCCATTGGTGAAGCGGTCCTGAACAAACAGGAGAGCAGAGTGATTATCCAGGGGATGCCAGTCAGTCTGCCCTTGGTCCTCTAAGTACCACAGGTTCCTAAATGGGAACACTTTGGTGGCAGGATGGAGTGACAGAGACTATGCCATGACTTAATAAGGCTCCCTCCCATATTCCCTACAATAGATGCTCTCCATCTCTACAGCTGCGATGAGGTAAGACCAATGTGATATGATCTCTTGGGGGGCCAGAACTTCCATCACAGGCAGGCTGGTTACACAGGATCTCTTCCCACTGTGAGGGACCAGTGACAGAGGAGAGGAAGGTGAGTTTGCCTTCCCCATCCGAAGTCTGTTGACCAGCACACCTAACAAAGGGTTGAGTTTGTCTCATTCATCACCATGAATCTCATAGAACGTTGTTTCGGATCAAAGGATCCTCTTCTCAATATAGTAAATATTGTAAGAGGTGTGTAAGTGTGGGATCTACTGTCTCTACCACATTCCAGCTCTCCTTGAAGTTGCTGGTGTTTTAGACAGGCATCTCAAAGGCCCAGGTATGGCGCTGTTTACTATTGTGTGGAACAGAGAAAGTCAGCATACTTCAAGATGAGGACGATGCTCTGAGTCAAGTAACAGAAGGAGATGTGGTCCTTATCCCCGTCACTCTGTGACTGCGTTGGGCAATCCCTCACAATTCAAGACTCTGGTGGTGATGGTGGACTGGGTTTGATGGACAGGAGAGATGATGGTTGTAGCAGAGATCCTCGTCAAGGTTTCACAAAACGGAGACTGCTCCCACCACCTGGTCATTTTTGGCTCCTCAAACCTTTGAGGAGTCCCTACTGGCAGATGGAGGTAGGCTTGGATTGTATAGTTGGGGTTGGGAAGGTAATCTTGAACTCCGGGGAGTCTCTGAGACACGTCTTCATGCTAAGACGCAGGAAGGAAAGCTGGTTACCTGCAGGACAAACAACCCAGACCCGCCTGAGTCCTGGCCAAGAGAAAGGAAAACCTAGAATGAATGGTAAAGAGGGCGACGAGGAGTGATCAGTTACAGACCCAGGGTCACCTGCAGCAGGGAACGCTGTGGCTGACTCCATTCATTTCCTTTCTGCACGTCCTTTCCTCTTAGACATTGGGAACGAGTCACCTCCTTCAAGGATCGGTGATGGGATGGTGTGACTGCGGACCGAGGAGCATGGGTGTGAATGGCTCACATGGTGTGACCACGATGTGGGGAACATGGGTGTGAATGGCTCACGTGGTGTGACCACGAGGTGGGGGAGCATGGGTGTGAATGGCTCACGTGGTGTGACCACGAGGTGGGGGAGCATGGGTATGAATGGCTCACGTGGTGAGACCACGAGGTGGGGGAGCATGGGTGTGAATGGCTCACATGTGATTACGATGTGAGGAGCATGGGTGTGAATGGCTCACATGGTGTGACAACTGATGTGGGGAGCATGGGTGTGAATGGCTCAGATGGTGTGACCACGATGTGGGGAGCATAGGTGTGAATGGCTCACATGGTGTGACCACGATGTGGGGAGCATGGGTGTGAATGGCTCACATGGTGTGACCACTGATGTGGGGAGCATGGGTGTGAATGGCTCACGTGGTGTGACAACTGATGTGGGGAGCATGGGTGTGAATGGCTCAGATGGTGTGACCACGATGTGGGGAGCATAGGTGTGAATGGCTCACATGGTGTGACCACGATGTGGGGAGCATGGGTGTGAATGGCTCACATGGTGTGACCACTGATGTGGGGAGCATGGGTGTGAATGGCTCACGTGGTGTGACCACTGATGTGGGGAGCATGGGTGTGAATGGCTCATGTGGTGTGACCACTGATGTGGGGAGCATGGGTGTGAATGGCTCACGTGGTGTGACCAGTGATGTGGGGAGCATGGGTGTGAATGGCTCAGATGGTGTGACCACGATGTGGGGGAGTATGGGTATGAGTGGCTCATGTGGTGTGACCACTGATGTGGGGAGCATGGGTGTGAATTACTCAGATGGTGTGACCACGATGTGGGGGAGTATGGGTGTGAGTGGCTCACGTGGTGTGACCACTGATGTGGGGGAGCATGGGTGTGAATGGCTCACGTGGTGTGACCACGAGGTGGGGAGCCTGGACATGAGTGGTAGTTCAAAGGCAGAAGGCAGAAGATGCTACAATGGCTCTCCACGCATGCGACACACACACCTTTCTAGGCAACTGCTCAACTTTTGAGGACCAGCATGTGGAATTCTGTCTATGAGTTCCTCCAGCTTCCATATGCTCTCTTTTTGAGCATAGACAAAGTGGAAGTTCCAAGGTATCAGTGCTCCGCCATAGCAGGCTTCAGCCAGTAGTCGATGGGAGCTGGTGAGTAAACTCGATGCTCCTTTGCCCCCAGAAATAGTTCCAAGACATGTACTCCTTATTACTACTGAATTTAACTAATCACCAAGTTTGCTTGTCAATACCCCGCTTTCCAGTTCCTTCCCTTCCTTGACGCTGTTTCCTGGGATTACTCCTTATATAAACAACTTGGTACTTTTTAAATTGTCTCTTTTTTTCTGCTTCTAGGTGATACAAATGAAGAAAGTCCTCAAAGGGAAGTGTTTAATTGTAGTATAAAATTATTATTTTATATTGAAAACAATATTTGAAAATCAGAATTGTACATTTTTAAAAAGTGACTTTCCTAAACCAAAACATTCTGCAAAAGTTTAGCTTACATTAAGAAGAGTTGATTTTCATTATGAAATGGAAAAGTTACAAAGTTCAAGATGGAGATAAGTGAATCCCTGGGGCTTATTGGCTGAAGAACAGCATCCAGGTTGACCCCTGGCTTCTTTCTCTGTCTGTCTCTCTGTCTCTCTGTCTCTCTCTCTCTCTCTCTCTCTCTCTCTCTCTCTCTCTCTCTCTCTCTCTCACACACACACACATACACACACACACCAGTGTAAAATGCCAGAATTGACACTCCCTCCATCTTTCTAGTTTCTCAATTAAAAAGGAGATGCATAAAAATATGAAAACAAAACTAATAATAAATACCCAAATATTTTAGAAATCTCGTAATGTCCCAACTTTGAATCCACAGCAAACCTTAATATCACATTTAGCTATGTGTTTGCACTTTTAAAGTGCTGTTATCCTTTCAGCAGTGAGTTCTGGGGTACAGAGGGGTCCCCGGGAAACCTAGCATTTCCTGCCTCGGCTAGTTTAGCCACCACTATCTTACACTCTGTTCGGCCTGCATCTGTGAGGTAAACACCTTAGTCGCTGAAAGGAGAACCGGGTTTGAAAAGTTCATTTATGAACAGATCGTGGTTTAGTTTTGCCAGAAAAAACAGCTGGTCTGGGGTCCCCTCAAGAAGTGGACTTCCCTGCCACCGGTAACAAAATGCATCCAGACGGTGGACAACGGTCCTCACACCTCTGGAAGAAGGGCTGCTTACCTGGCCCTTGTGGACGGGGGACCAACAGCAGCTACTTCCAGAGGCTCCAGGTATCTGTTGGGCGGTTGCCCTGGAAACCTTGGGCGGCTTGCAGGGCCCCTCGGAGGGCGGGGCCTCTGGAGGAGGCGCTGTAATTCGAGCGAATTCTTAAATGCTTGCTTTTGTGTTCATAATTATAAAACACCCTTCCACTCAAACGCGGAGGTGATGAGCGGAGTCAGTGCATATATTGTCTACTTAATGTCCACTTACGTCCCGAGAGCAATCGGAAAAACCTTGTATTAACCAGAACGGCCCCCAGCACCAGCGCGCTCCCCTGCGCGGCTCTCCCCTACGCGGCACCGTCTCTTTAAGAATGCACGGACGGCTAGCCTCACCCATAAAATGTGCAAATACCAAAGGCGCCACATTGAAGTCATCAGGAAAGATTCGTGGGCCACACAGCCACAACATGAACTTTATTGACTCTCAACACGGGAATAAAATAGGCGACGAAAGAGGGGGAAATCACAGGCACTCAGAAAGGACCACTGTGAGACAGGTTTCAGGAAAATAAAAGAGTAGACACGAAGAAACAGACCAATTGAAACATGGAGAAGCCCATTGGAAAGGAGACTCCAGTCACCTGACCTCCTTTCCTTAAGGATCAAGATAAAGCAGAGGCTTTGGAGCCTGACCTTAACAAAGATGGCGCCCTAAGCGTCCGCCCTCAACAACGCCGTACTCCTGTAACCCCGCCCCCTAGCGTCTGGGCGGGGCTTGGTGGGAGGCGTGGCTTGGGGAATACGGAAGCACCTTGCGGCCCCCGGCTGCTGCAGGCTTAGCGCTCTGAGGTTGGGTTTTCTGCGCCGGGTCCGGTGAGCTGGGCCTGCAGAGTCTCCTCCCTCGGCCTCCAGGGACGGACCGGTCCGGCAGCTGTCACGACCTGGGCCGCGGCCTGGTGCCCCGTAGTGGGGCCGCCATTGGCTGGAGCCATGCCCACGGCCGCTGCCCCCATCATCAGCTCGGTCCAGAAGCTGGTGCTCTACGAGACCAGAGCGGTGAGTATCATCTGCTGCGGCGGGAAGGACGGACGGGGCGGGACGGACAGCGCTGCGGGGTGGAGGGGGGACGCTGTGGGGTCGAAGGGCAGAGGCAGCACCCCGCATTCCCCCCACCCCCAGCCGCGCAGCAGCACCGTGGAAAACGGCCTCGGAGGGAGCTCGCCTGCAAGGGCCCTGCAGCCAGACACTAGTGGGTTTGCATGTCTGTCCCGGTGAGGAGGCTTGGCTGGAAGATGTTCATGCAGACAGGTGCTTGTGACACCCAGGAACGGCGGGCGCACAACTTCTGAATGAGTTACTGGATTCTTTTCCGCTTTCTCAGACTCTGTTAACGTTCTTGAGTCCACTTCTTATAGTTACTTTTGCCTAGGTAACTTGTATTTTGCATCCCATGGTATATTGTCACTGTGGTTGGTGTTATTCACATGCGCTGTTTTTGCTGAGACTTGGGGTTCTGTGCCGTGGACAGTTAGGTTACCAGCTCTCCGGCTTGTAGAGTGATGGTACTAATAGAGTTTCGTATTTTCTCATTTCTGTGGTTGGAAAACAGCTACTACAATGTGGCTTACCCGAATCTGGACTTCATCATGATATTAGGGTCGGTGTTTAAGTTAATTCCTTCCTGGTCACAACCTTATGAGTGTCTCATAAGGTATAGTCAGTGAAGCGTGGCTAGTCTGAGAGAGAGAGAGAGAGAGAGAGAGAGAGAGAGAGAGAGAGAGAGAGAGAGAGAGAGAGAGAGAGAGAACAAGAAAGTATTCACCTTCCCAGTTTCTCACAGTCCTAGGAGTGTCTATCTTGTTTCGTGTGTGTACAATTACTGGTTCTAAATTAACTTGGAAAACAAGTCCTTTTGACTGTATCAGGACCAGGTGATGGAATAATATTTGCAAGTATCTTCACTTTTCTTCAGAGAGTCACATAGAAATATCATTTTGACATTGAAACAAAATTTTCTTTCTGTAAAATGAGCTGGTGAAGGTCCCCAGTAAGACACATAAGTAAGGGGCTGGAGAGAGGGCTCAGAGATGGCACTGGCTGCTCCTTCAGAGGTCCTGAGTTCAATTCCCAGCAACCACATGGTGGCTCACAACCACCTGTAATGAGATCTGGTGCCCTCTTCTGGCCTGCAGTCATACATGCAGACAGAATACTGTATACATAATAAACAAATCTTGAAAAGAATTTTTCAAAAAAAAAAAAAAAAGAAAAAAGAAAAAAGAAACATAAGTAAGTTGGCCCATAGGATTTAGCACACTGATAAGCCGAGCATTCTGGGGGCCTGGCTCAGATGTTGTGTTCCTTCTAAAGCAGAATTTCTTCTCCAGAACCCTTGAGTGGCAGCAATGCTGAGGAGGGTACACCCTGCCCATAATTTAATCCCAGCTTGGCAATCAGCAAACACATATGTGAGATTCAGTTGTGTACATTTTTGTGCCTTACTTATCCAGTAAACTCACACCAGCTGGGGTTCCCAGTGTTCACTCTATGTTTCTCTGTTTCTCTACTTATTTCGCCCCCATCTTTTCCCATCAAATCCTTTATGCAGCACAGATATATACATACCTTGCGAGCACCACGTAGTCAGTGGCTGCTAGTTCTGAGGGTTTGGCAGATGACACGTAGGTGCATCAGATGGATGCTAGGAGCCATTGCACAGACTCAATGGGGGACCCAACTCTCCAGCTCCGAAAAAGCAGGAACAGGATGGCAGGCTGGAGAACCTGCCCAGAAAGCCACCTCCAAACGGTACAGGCATTGGGATGAAGGATGAGATGATGGACTCAGCTATGATTGGCTAGCTGCCCCTGGGGACAAATCGTGACAGTAATTTTCGCTGTAGGACTAACCCTACCCGTGGCAGGTAGGTGTGGCAGGCTGTGTTGACTCTCTGAAGCTTGGTCCATATCGGTTAAGGAGATCTTTGTTTATTTCCTTATTTATTCTTGGGTGAAAGCAGAAAGATTGGTTTTGAGTCACCTGCTCAGGGATGAAAGAGCACCGCTCAGATAAGACATAAAATTAATTTCCAACCGAGCAAGTGGTCTGGATGAAAAATCGCAAAGCTGGCTGTACTCATGAGAATCACGGCTAACGTTTACCGCATGGGTCTGTGCTGCCTGTTCTGAGGTCTCAGCGTATTTAGTGTCGATGAGAGGTCAGCGTGGTCCACCGTTACCGTCACTGTGCTGTTGTTGATTTGGGGAAGAGGAGAGTGAGGCAAAGTGAGTTTAGGACGGTACCACAGCAGATGTGGTCTGGAACCTTCTGCTGGGTAGGGAGCTTTATGACCAGACTGAGATGTCCCATATGGAGGTTAAATGGGTAGAACTTTTCAGATCACTTCCACAGAGTGCCTCTTTCAGCCAAGATAACTAAGGTTCTGTCATTTTTTTTTTTTTTTTTTTTATGAAGTGGAGTTGGAGGCTTACATGTGAGGGTTAAGAAAGAGGCACTTAGAAGAAAATAAGACTCGCTGAAAGCCTAGGTGTGGGGTTCGCAAAGAAGAGATGTGGGAGGTAACATGTACCAAGTGTGGGTACAGGCTCCTTCGGGGAGAGTGGCCACTGTCAGTCTTCATTACTTAAATACTTACTTAGCAGTTACTAAGTCCACTGCTTACTGTTCCTAAAGTTTTGTATCCTGAGGCAAAGTTGCATAAACTGAAATTCACAAATCTAAACTTACGGAATTTGAGCAAAGCTATGCACGTGTGTATTCTGTAGCCCTATTATGAATGAAACATTTCTGCTGCTTGAAAAAGTTCTCTGTGTGTCTAGTTACTTTTCTGTTGCTGGGGTAAGACACCACGACAAAGGCAGCCTGGAGAAGAAAGTGTTTATTTTGGGCTTACAGAGGGTTAGAGCTCGCGGCCATCATGGCGGCGAGCATTGTAGCAGGTGGCGGGCATGGTGCTGGAGCAGTAGCTGAGAGCTCAAATCTTGAGAAACAACCATGAGACAGAGAGAGAGAGAGAGAGAGAGAGAGAGAGAGAGAGAGAGAGAGAGAGAGAGAGAGAGAGAGAGAGAAGAAAGAAGAAAGAAGAAAGAGAGAGAGAGACACTGGGGATGACGTGGATTTTTGAACAAAAGCATACACCCAGTGACACACCTCCTCCAAGATCGTCATGGCCACACTTTCTAATTCTCTCCCCAGAGTTCCACCAGCTAGGGACCCAGTATTCAAAAACGGGGGCATTCTCATTCAGACCACACTGTGTCTTTACCCAGTCAACTGTCCACTCCATCTCTGGCAATTAATGTTCTGCTTTTAAATGCTTTTATTAAAAGGAAGTTTCCTTTTAATTTTTATTTATGTGTATGTATATGTATTTCTGTGTGTGTATGCCACATGGATGTAGGTGCCTGTGGATCCCTGAGGAGGGCATCAGACCACCCGGAGCTGGAGTTCTGAGCTGCCTGATATGGGTGCTGGGAACTGAGTTTGGCTCTTCTGGAAGCGCGTCAAGGACTCTCAGCCACTCAGCAATTTTGCAATTCCTACTATTCTATGTTTTTTTGTATGTTAGATTATATATGCTTGTTTAAAAATTTAACATAATGGGCAGTTGGACATAGTAGAATCTGTCATGTAATATCATGCCTGTAATCCCAGCACTAAGACAGAATCAAGAGAATTTCAAGTTCTAGGCCAGCCTGGATAGCATAGTAAGACCTTGCTTGGAATGAACAGAACAGTTTCTGTAATGGGATAGTGCTGCACATTCTGTTAGGTCCAGTGCATTTTGTTCGTCATCATGTCTTTGCAGTTTATCCATACTTTCGTTACATCAGGAGTTTACACCTTTTTTTTTTTTTTTTTTTTTTTTTTTTTTTTTTTTTTTTTTTTTTGGTTTTTCGAGACAGGGTTTCTCTGTGTAGCTTTGCGCCTTTCCTGGAACTCGCTTTGGAGACCAGGCTGGCCTCGAACTCACAGAGATCCGCCTGGCTCTGCCTCCCGAGTGCTGGGATTAAAGGCGTGCGCCACCATCGCCCGGCGAGTTTACACCTTTTATCATTGCCTGTGTTCACAGTTTGCATATCAGTTTTTCCTGTTTATTTGGAGTATGAGTAATCCATTTGTGAACACACTAAAAAATGTGTATTTGTGTGCATAATTTTCATTTCTCTGTGGGTAAATACATGTGAATGCTATCACTAGTCACATGTCCTAGCACCCTGGAGAATTCCCAGGTTTGGTGAAGTAGTTGTACCTGTGTCCACTTCCGGCAGCAATGAATGTAGATTGTTTGTGTCCTGGCCAGCATTTGTGGTGTCCATACTCTTAGTTCCTTAATGACTGGTGCTGTTGGGCATATTCTCATTGCTTATTGCTCTTCCTTTATGAAGGAGCTGTTATTTCTTTTGCCCACTTATATAGAATTAGGCTGCTTTTACATTACCGACTTGTAGGCATTCTTTATGTATTCTACAATCAAATCCGTTGTCATATATGTTTTATGTAACTTCTTTTTTAGAATATCTAATAGGTCACTTTAAATGATCATTTGATGAACAGACATTTTAGGGGTGTGTGTGTGTGTGTGTGTGTGTGTGTGTGTGTGTGTGTGTGTGTGTGTATGTGTGTGTCCATGTGGAGGAGTGTGGAGGCCAGAGGTTGACACTAAGTGTCTTTCA